TTTAGACACTGTTTTACACCGAGTAAAAAGATGACGTTTAAGGTCAGCATGTTGCTGTACCTTCTTCATTATCAAAAGATTTAGAACACTCTGTACTAATAGTAATTTCGTCCTTTACTGTCACCGAAACTTCGTTGCTTATTGAAATGTGTCCCCAAAGAAAGGAATTTATTTCGTTTTCTTGTTTTGGTTCAATTTTAATAAGTGGTGTGCCACTATCTCCATCCATATCTAACAACTATAAATGTTATAAATGCACGTGTTAAAAAAACTGTTTTTTTGTATTACTTGGCGCACAAAACTGTGTTTACTACATCAGCTGTTTGCAATTTCAGACGCGCGTCGTCAGTGGCGTACCTCCATTGAATTTATTGTACAGGGCTGTTCTAAATGAATGCCTCAATTTAACAAATTCGTATTTATTAAAGTATACATTCAAAATAAACAGGTTATAAATGATCTGGCCTCCAACTGTTTTGGCGGAATAACGCCAACTTCAAGTTGTACTGAAATAGGTGCGGGAACGCAAAACTAAAGCTGAATTTATAGTTCCGTATCCGCAACGCCGTACCGTAACGTTTGGAATTAAACGCTACTTGTTGCGCGTGAACATTTATAGTTCGCGTTAACCGGTTACGGTACGTAGGAAATGCCCAAATCTTATTTCTTACGGTAAATCGTGCTAACGCGTTTGTCGTCGGCAGTACTCGGATAATTTAAACAGTTGAGTTTATCCTGACGTTCGTTTCGTTTATTTACAATAATTATTGACACTTTGTTGGTTATTATTATTTTGAAATGCACGTTACTCTTACTGACAGATGGCATACAATGACAGATCTCGTGTCGCACTAATGCGCAAGCTCATCTCGTACCACTACGGTAACTATAAAACGTATAATTTTCGTTAACGTAAGATTTTACGGTTCCGCTCTTACGTTCTTACGGCTACGGAACTATAAATCCGGCTTTACACGGGTGCCTATTTGAATATTCTTGCTTAAGTTTCCCGCGTGAATTTGTCACTCGGTGGCGTCCCCGAGTTCACTCAAACTGTGATCGTCATGAAGGACACCTACTACGCCATGTAGTAAACTGGGTTCTAAACAGGAGCTGAAGGCGTTTATGGAGGAACACCAAAAGCAATAGATGACTAAAATTATATTGTCGCCAATATCAATTGGGAAGGGGCCGAAGTCTAGCCAAATGGCACGATCGCCTAGGATTCGTGAGAGAAGATCGTACCCGTCGCAGTCTCCAAGAACGTATGTACCGGGTGACCCAACAAGACTGTTCCTCGGCCATATCTCGGGAACCGTTCGTCGTATGACTTAGGGGTAAAAAAATTATTGGGTAAACCGGTTATGAACAATCGCTTCTAAAAATGATCACCAGAGGGCGTAACTGTCATCTTAAATTTTAAAATTGCATTTTCTTCCAATTTCGCGTAATAAACTAAACATTCTTTTTTCACATTTTTAAAGAGAACCAGTTTATCTATCATTTTCGTAAAAACAACAACTCAGTTATTTCAAAACCAAAAATGGCGTGGGGCGTTCAATTGTTTTTGCAATAACCTGCTTTAACTTCTTAACCGTTTGACCGATTGTAACAAATTTGGTATCGTTGAAAAGAGCATTCCTTGGGCAACAAAGATTAACCAAAATATAGTTAATGTAGTTGAATCCTTCTCCGCCAGGAGGCTAGTTTTGACACTATGATTCAACATACTAAAAAAATCAAAAGGAATGATATGACTTTTTCTTAATGAAAAAGTAGCCAAATAACACCCAAAAAGGCCAGTGAAAACCGTTTTTCAAAATCAAAATCTTGTTCTTAACCTCAAATATTGGGAGAATGAGATCAATTAATTCATTAATAAAAATACTTAAATTCTTCTTTCCGGTATTGTCGATGGGGCGAAAGATTGTTTGAAAAAGGACCCTGCACTTTTAGGTAGGCCTTGAAAAATTAAACAAATGAAACACGATGCATTATAAAATAATAACAGCCGTAATTGGTAAATTATTCTGCTGTGTTTACATTCAGAAAGTGCAGTTTTTTGAATTTGCAATCTTTTCTAAAATGCCGATTTCTAACCAAGAAGCATTTAATATGGTGGCGGCGATGGTTCATGGTCGATTCGGATAACGCAAATAGAAGATGCGGAAAATGGTCGCATTTTGAAAATACTCAAAATATATCATGTCAAAACCTCCAACTAACATCTAATGTACAGCACTTTTCAGCCTTCTCGAGAGTAAAACTCTTTAACACAAAGAGGAGTAGATACCACGTAAAACAGACAAGCTATGCGCAAATAATAATCTTTACTATGAGCAACCAAAATGGAATCGAGTCATTCCCCAGGTATTACAACACATACATCAGTTTTGAGTTGGATCCATCGTTCCTCGAAATGGGGGTTGAAATATATTATGTTATCAAAAATCTCTAAACCTTCCCCATATAGTTTTATTCGTTGAAGTTTTTAAAAATAACAGCGACTATAGTTTCGGCGTACTGCCATCATCAGGCGATGTGAAAGTTAACAGGAAAACGGTAAATTACAAACGTTGAAGACGGATAAGACGAACATGTTGTTTTTTTAATTATTAACTGGCCGAAGCCAAGTGAAAAACCTGAAGGGTGGTTAAAACGGAAAGGTTGTCCTAAGTTTCAAGACGAATTAATTATCAAGCCTTGTTAAGACAACCAACCGGGGGGTTGAATTTTTACATTCATTGGCTTCGGCCAGTTTATAATTAAAAAAACAACATGTTCGTCTTATCCGTCTTCAACGTTTGTAATTTACCGTTTTCCTGTTAACTTTCACATCGCCTGATGATGGCAGTACGCCGAAACTATAGTCGCTGTTATTTTTAAAAACTTCAACGAATAAAACTATATGGGGAAGGTTTAGAGATTTTTGATAACATAACATACATCAGATAAAACTAAGAAATATTAAATATGCCTCGCCGGACGGTAGGATTACCCAAGCCCAGTGGAGTGCCTGTCGACGTGAGCTAGAGTTGCTTTGGTATCGGAACGCGTCACACGTCAAGTGTTGCTTAATTTTAAATAATGCAATTTTTACATCTTATAATTTAAATATAAACAAAATTTACACGAATGATAAAAACAAGAAATTAAACAATTCTGAAATGGAAAAATACACTAAAAACAAATTCCGTGCTTATTCGTAATGTAAATCCTCCGTTAATCGAAAACATTTATCTGTATTTGTATTTTTATTTTTCATGTTTGGGTGCAAATCAATTACAAGATGGAAACTTACATGGCCTTGTAGCGAGTCGTAGCTCATTTATCGCACATAGATTCTAAACCGAAGAGTTTTGATTAGCATAATCCGGTACCCGCAAGATATGTAACTTCGCCCCTCGTTCGGGGTTTCGAGCCTACAGTTGAATGTCGAAGACAATCACGGAAGTGTACTTAACCCCCAGGTTCTATACTAACTTCACACTACAAGAACACGGAAATAAAGTCAACCCGGCAACGTTTCATCCGAATGACTATTCCCTCCAAAACTAAACAAGATCCCGCTTAAATTTGAAAAGTGGCAAGTGATCAAACATCTAAGGCAGGACCCCCTTACATTAGTTGTAGACAACGCTTTGACCTGAAGCATATGGTCTAAGCCTGAAGCACAGTAGGGAAGGAACGTAAAATAAAACACTGAAATTGTGAAAAGTTTGTTTAATAATGATCGCAATTATTAGGATTGTGAAAGCTCAGAAATTTAAGTCGAAATAAATTACATTGCAAAAATAAACTTTGAAAATGGTAGTTCACCGAATAAAAATAGAAATAGGCTGGGAAAAAAGAACTTACCAATAAAAAAACCAGCCGTCAAATTAATATTAAATTGTGTTGTAAAATTAATTGTTTGTAATGATGTGAATGCGTAACATAGAATCGTAACATCACAAAAAGTAGCTGGTAAACTTCAAGAGGTAACATATAGGTTAAAAAAAGTTTTAGCAATTATGGGTCAGGTAAGCAGGTACCAAGATTCTCAAAAAGGGTGAAATACACAGGATGTGACTCATCTTTGGGGCAATCAAGTCCTTTTGTTAAAAGCAAGATGGAAAATTACATGGCCTTGTAGGCAAATTTAACTAAAAACAAGATATGTGAAAATTATTGAATCGCCATGCATTTATCGAACATAGATTCTAAACTGAAGAGCCTTGATTAGCGTAATCCCGCTCCTGCAAGATGGGTAACCCGCCCCTGGTTTCGGGCCTACAGTTGAATGCCGAAGACAATCACAGAATTAGGTGTCGTAACTCAATTTTGACTACAGTTTGTACCACCCCCGTGACTGCTCCATTCACGGAGGGAATTGTTAGTTACAAACAACAAGTCAGTACATACATCACACGAATCGGTAATTTCCACATATTAAAATTAAAATAAAATGAAAACTTACATGAATGTTACTTCAGGGACAAGACCAAGTAATCAACATCAATAAACATAAATTAAGCAAGCATTACACCAAAAACGTAAACGATTACAAACAAAAGGATAACGGTATTAAACATGTCATTCTGCATTGCGGTTAAACCAAGTAAATTTCAAAAACAAAGATTGAAACACCCAAAAAAATATAAAATGCGGCATACGAAACACAAATACGATATAAAGAAATGCAAAAATTACTACCTGCATCAAATAACAACAAAAATTCAACACGTTCGTGCTCTCCAGAGGGCGCAAATCGCTTTCCTCTCCTAAAAATTGCGTGGTTGCCAACTCTCAAAAATGTGTGCATCGCCGTAGGGTGTATATACAGAGTGGAACCTCTCAACGTAAAACAGTACCCGTGCGAAAGCAGCAAGCCATTTTTCCGAAGTTAGCCGAAGATGACGTCACAGAGTCAACTTTCATGGGCGTACCAACTGTTTACAGTAGGCCAAAGACCATTTTGGATTACACATGGGTTGTCAGATTCTACTAAACAAATCACATTAAACAAAAACGGCTTTTATTTAGGTGGAGATTACATGACTATACAACATCTACTTTAATAACAAAAATGGTTGAACACAGAAAGTCGACCTTACTTAGCATCGGTTAGAGCTGCCACGCCGGGAAGAACTTTTCCTAAAAAGCAAAATATAATGCGACCTCCTGTCTGTTAAGGCAATTACCTTCAAGCAACTCCAAGCTGGCACCGCCTCCTGTTGAAACGTGCGAGACTTTATCCTCGGTGTTCCACTTGGCACAGCAAGTTGCGGTGTCGCCGCCACCGATTATGCTCACAGTACCCTTGCTAGTCGCGTCGACCACCGCATCCATCAATCCTTTGGTCCCCTTGGCAAAATTTTCAAACTCGAACACACCTGCAGGTCTTAAAAAGGAGGAAATCGGTTTACGACGACATTATAAGGGAGACGTACCCGTTCCAAACTATGACCTTGGCGCGTTTGATCGGCTCCCTGAACAGTTCCAAACTCTTCGGCCCAATATCCAATCCCATTAGTCCCTCGGGTATACCCTCCGCCGCGGTTGCGCTCCCGACGTTCGCGTTCTCGGCGAACTTGTTCGCCGTCACGAAATCGACGGGCAGATGTATTTTGACATTGTTGGCCTTCGCCTTGTCGAGCAGCTTCTGGACGATTTTCGCTCCCTCCGCGTCGTACAGGGAGTTGCCGATCTGAAAACGAAATAAATTAGTTGGGGGTACGTGACGCTAATAAGCCCCCCAGGTATGATCATGAAATTGATAGAAATGGATAGAGGACACCTTAATAACACGTTTAGAATAAAAAAAATTTGCGGAAGAGGGACTAAATTTTTCTTAATTTAAAAGTTCACTTCGTTTTCTGGAAATCTGGAGTATTTTACGTATATTTTGTCATTCTTAAGTTGGCGAAACTGAAAAATTTTACGTTGAGATGTCTATATCCCTTTAAATACCCTGTATATTTCAACGTCGGATGCAACCAGTCACGTAGTTGGAGATTCTGGGGACGTGAGCCACCGCCATCACCACCTGTCGATATTTTTTTGGTAGTTTCCGGAGGATGTTTGGGAATTTGGGTGCTTGGCGTGACTTCATCACTTGTTGTTGATTGTTAAAGCTTGTTGGTGGTGGGCATATTGTATTTTGAGTTGTATTCATAGAGTTTAGCTTTGTTTTTGGTGTTTGTGTGTAAGAATTAACCACCTTGGTATCGGGTAAAGTATTTTATGGAGTTTACTCTTATGTACTTATATGAATTGTGCCATTTGTTAAATCAGATATTTTCCATCTACCATTGTGCTAATATGTAATTTACAATATGCGAGGTGATACCAATATTATTTTTATATAGTACATGTAAATTTACAATTTTTTTATCGGAATATAGTTTGAGGTTAGTTAAACAACAGTCATAGGTGGAGTAGACACATGGGGGTTTAGATTGTTTTCGTGTAAAATTCTTTATAATTGTATCCTTCTACAACTGTAAGGTAGGTACGCCACTGGAACAGGAAACTACTGTCCGCCATTTGCAAAAGCCATCGCGGTCGCACGTATATTGTTGATATTCTCCTTCCTGGTATTCTTTATTCATTGCTTTATTCATTGACAATCATGAAATTTGGAGTAATAATAACCAATGAATTGAACTTTTAATTAAAATTGTGGAAAATTTAGAGCCTCTTTCGCAGATTTTTTTTTATTGAAGACGCTTCGTTAAGGTGCCCTCTATCCACTTCTGTCAATTTTATGATCGTACCTGGGGGGCCTATTAGCGTCACGTAACCTTAGTTGGCTTAGCGCAATCCTGACAGATTCAATGTCGAATGGTACAAAATTTGTGAGTATTTATCTACGGGAACCGGCCCCTAACACGCGATCGTTTTAGACGCAATGACGCCGAGGAAATGCGAAGAAATCGGCGACAAAAAGTTTAAGAAACGGAGACGATCCAGCGAATCCCGTACAAATTCTAGCGATACCGAGAACGTAATCGGCGATCACGCGTGTAAACGGAAGGTGGGAAAGGGCAAGAGAGTTTTGGACGCCGAGTCGAGCGAAAACAGTTTGATTAACGCGACAAAATTCGCGGTCGAAAAAAAGTCGCTCTCGAAGCAGGTGCAGGTCGATACGTTTAGGTTTAGAGATGCGATCAGGCCGTCCGCGAAATCGCCGTCGGGTGCGAAAAAACCGCCGACCAAGCCGAAGACGTCTCAACTGAAAAAAGTGCGCAGTAAAAAGCTCGCCGAAGAACCGGACGACAAGCCGGAGCCGCAGTCGGCACCCGTGCCGCAGAAACCCTGGTTGCGGTACTCGAGCGTGGCGCAGAATGCGCTCTCGCTTTTGAATAACGAGGTGAGTTCGGCGCTTTGTCAGGTTTTGGGTAGCATCGATGACATTCAAATGCGCGTGCGTGCCACCATGGACGAAATACAACAGTGCGATAAAGTGTACGAGCGGCTACGTCACCAGAAAGTCTGCCATTCTTCGCCGATACTCGCGGCCGAGCCGTTACACAATGCGGCCAATGAGAGTCTGCCGCACGCCCTCGAGGTCGGTTTGCTCCAGACTCAGAGCGAAAACCAAATGCGGATTGCCGTGGACACCCCTGTTACAGCTAACGAGCAATCCGAAGACGAGCTCAGCAAACCAGTCGACTCGAATAGCGACGAGGAGGTCACCATCGTCGAAGCGAAAAAGGTGGAATTGGAAGTGAAGGACAGTTTGCCCCAGCCCGAAAAGCGAGCGGTTGGTAAAAAGGGCAAGAAAAAATCCAAGGTTATTCAAATACTGGCCGAAGAGCTGTACGTGCCCGAGAAGATCAACAAAATTATGGAGTCGAGTTTGCCGCCCGAAAACCCGACTGGCAAGAGGTTTATGTACCAGGAAACGACAAAGAAGCCCAAAAAGAAAAGGAAATATCCCAACAGCCTGCTATTTCCCGAGGCCGAGTCGACCGTTGCCAGGGCCGACAGTAACCAGTGCAATATCATTATCGAAACCGCCGCGCCGGACCCTCACGAGCCGTCCGGTTACCCCCTCTCCAAGTCCGGTTTGAATTGCTTCGATATACTAGACGAGATCACGTTAAACGACGTGAGGCCGCTAAGGTCCGAGTATCCGCGTCGGGATTGCGAGGGTCGCAAGGTGGAAAGTACGTACCTGTACAGACTCGTGCGCGGTTCGATGCAGGCTCAGTTCTTGGAGTTGCTGCGACTCGAAGAGCCTTCGCTGACGTGCTCGCAGAAGTGCGACAGCTGCTCGTCCGTGAAGACGCAACCGAAAAAGTCGCCCGTCAAGAAATCCAAAAAATCGGACCACGACGAGGTGGCGGCCAAGCTGCGGCAGTACCTGTTCGACCCGCACATTCGTTACCCGACCACCATCACGGTGATGCCGGTCGTCATCACGACCTATACGAATCCCAACTTCGTAAAGGCCCCGGGAGGTGACTGCGCCACCAAGAAAACCCCCAGACAAACAAAGACCAAAGACAAGCCCGCGAAGAAGCCGAATCGGCCGACACCTCGTCGCGACGAGTCGTGGGGCGACTTCGAGACCGCGCCGAAACGGCTGAGGAGCCCGAAACCGAACCGCAAGTGGGAGAAGAACATACAAAGCCTAATCGAGCTGGTCGAGCACAAAATAGTCGAAATCCTATCCGATCCGAAATCCACTCACCTCGACGCCTTCAAATCGGTCGAGACGAAGATCATCGAGCTGCTCCACGGGCAGAAATCGCTCGACGCGATCGAGGAGCAAAAGCCGCCGCGTCCGAAGTTCCTCTCGAAAACGACGAGCAATCTCGACAAGCCGAAGTGTAACGCGCTCGAGAGCAACACCTACCCTTCGCTCGTCGACAATGTGCGTTCGTTACCTCTGCAGATCATGCGCCTAAATCTGAAGGCGCCCACCTGCAAGCGCATCGACGAGTCGACAGCGACAACGAAATCGATAACCGCCGCGAACACGAGGAGCGAACAGACCTCGTGCACGTTCCCCGACATTTACCCCTCGCTCGAGGTCATCAACTTCCTGGACACCCTCGCGAATATATCCACGGTTGCCCTCGGCGACGTCACCTCGGGCACGCGCACCACCGTCTTTTACAAGTGGCCGATTCGGATCTCGTACCCGTTCTCGACCTGCACCCTGTTTCACGCCGTGCGAGTTACGGGTGCGCCCCGCGACAACAGTCCGAGTCGACCCCAACGCAACAGATCATCCCTACCCGTGCGCAACTGCAAAAAGAAATGCCCCACGAAGGCGGTCACCTTCAAAAGCGCAGAGGACGAGGATCGCAACCCGAAGACAGACGAGGACGGTGCCGAATGGGAAGAGGGAGAAGGATTCGATTATAATCGGCTATTAAATTATCTGTACGGCGCGCTATTTACGATCGAGTTTCTTGGACTTACTTTTAATTATTCGTGTAATTCTTGAATTTTATTCTTTTAAACGAAAATTTATTCATGCGAAACTGATTTTTCCAATAAAAAACTTTCTGGGGTTATTATATTCCGATCTTGTATGTGGCCGAGTGGTTCCCGAATACGGTCCTGACTGTTTAAATTCGTATGAAAACTTAAGGCGCCGGGAATTCGTGGGAAAAGGCGAAATTAACTAGAATTATGTAACAATTTTGCAATGGTCGCGTCTGTAGTTCGGCTTTAATGGAGTAGATTTATGTGTAACTAAATGCCATTGGACCAAAAAAAAATGTTTGAATGGTGTACAGGGTGAGTCACGGAATGGGCGAGAATTAAAAACGAAAAGTAGTGGAAATTTGGTTGTTGGTAGAGAGCCGTGGGACAATTCGCGTTAAGCTCCGATGGCGTTCGCGTCGAGCAGTTAAAAAAGTTAAGTCGACCAGCGGTAAGTTAGGGCAGTTTGTGTAAAGAATTCGGATTAAGCCGCGGGGTAATTCGCGTCGGGCCGACAGGCAAAAAGGAACCTCGAATCGTGAAACCAATCGCGTAGAAAGAAGTTTTAGGAATATATTAATGTCCGTGTACCTTTGGATCTCACAAATAAAATAGAGTCGTGTGCGGAAAAGGGAGTATTGCAGTACCATTCGTAGTTCGGCTTTATTGGAATAGATTTATGTGTAAATAAATCTCAATGGACCAAAAAAATTAAAAAAGTTAAGTCGGCAATGTGTAAGTTAACGCAGGGTGGATTTTAGGTTGTGTAAAGAATTCGGATTAAGCCGCGGGCTAATTCGCGTCGAAACGAGAAAAAAAATGAGCATCGAATCGCGTTGCGGAGAACCAGGAGTTGATCGTAACAATTGCGCGAAATGTAATTCACCTTACAACGCACCAGAATCGCTGAACTTCCTTATGACAAACGTGGTACAATAGGAAGCGCCAACCTGCAATACTGATCCAAGCAAAACACTCTCAGTAGGCGGAAAATATCCCATCGGTACGGTTTGCAATCTACACTGCAAGCAACCAGTCCTCTGGATATTCCGCCGTCTATCTTACATTCGGAGGAGATCTCAAAACGGCGGACCAGCGATCAACGCATAACTCACTTGTATACAAATTTATAATATGTAAATTTATTAGATACCAGCGCGAAATCACCACTAATCAATTCAGCGTCGATGTTGGAACTTCCATTAAACACGGTTAAATTTGCTTGTGTATCTTTCTAGAAAAATTTCAGAACGTTCTCGAGAATATCAGCGAATTTCTCGAAAAAACGCGTCGCATCCGCTTTCGTTCCATTTTCCCGTGACTAATTTTGTCTCGAGGACAGCTGCTGGCGCTCCGATGTCACGACAGTACAAAACTTTATGTGACAGATAGGTTCTCGTGGGGTTAAGTAGGAAAAAAACAGAGGCCACACAGTATAGCACCTGGTGAACCCGAAAACGTAGTACAGTTCAACGTTATATAGAATTTCTATATAACAATCAATGCGATCTTTGTTTCAAGGATTCAACCTAGTAAAATCTATGGAGGTCGATGCAACATTTAATTAGTGCAGAAAAAATTAGAAGGTACTGTAAATGTTTGTCTTGAATTCAAAGGAAGTTTCCATACAATTTGTTAAGATTTCAATTAGTACATGAAATCAATTATGTTCACTTTTAAAAAGAAACAACCCCCTTAAATTATGTAGTACAAAAGAATCTCAGGGGACAAAATGTTGGGCATTGGCTTTAATCATTTGCTAATCTACAGTTTTTGTTATGTTAACAAACTCGTTAATTATTAACTTTTTTGTTGGAAACCTAAATTATCAAAAACATTGTATCAGGTGTAACAATATCTGTATAATCCAAATATAGAAGATATTGAAATGCATTCAATTTGTTTTTACTCATATTACCCACCAAAATTGTATACCCGTTTCGTCAATTCTACAAAAGTAATAGGACCGAGTTTATTTGACATACACTGTACATTATTCAGAGCCTACAAAAAAAATGATTAGGTAGTTCAAACAAATCTAATGTAGTTCAACTGTTCCTGGTTGAGATTAAGGTTATGTCAGTGTTAATTTCTTTGCCTTTTTCTTGGAATTTGCAAAAATCAAAGTAAAATAAATAATAAGGTACTTACACTCATATTTTGCGACTCCTTAAGGAATGTGTAACTCATGCCGCCTCCGATAATCATCTCGTCGACTTTATCGAGCAAGTTTTCGATCAGCTGTATCTTATCGGCGACCTTCGCGCCGCCCAGAATAGCCAAGAACGGCTTTTCCGGATTATCCAAAGCCTTGGCGAAGTACTGCAGCTCCTTTTTCAGGAGGAAACCGGAGGCGCGCTCCTCGAAACCCTCGCCCAACATCGAGCTGTGAGCGCGATGGGCCGTACCGAAGGCGTCGTTAACGTAAACGTCGCCGAGCTTTCGGAGCGACGAACGAAACTCCTTCACCTTCGCCGGATCGGCTTTCACCTGCGCGTCGGCGATTAATCGTCGAGCGTTCGTGCAAGTTTACTACCTTATTTCCGGAGGCGTCGATGCCTTTGCCCTCCTCCTCGACGTGAAAACGTAAGTTCTCCAAGAGAATGATGGAGCCCGGCTTGGGGTCGGCGCACGCGCTTTCGATCTGTGATCCCACGCAATCGGGTAGAAAATCGACGTTCCTAGGACGGGAAAAACTATATATGTAAAGGAATACAGACGTTAAACTTTTATAAGTTGCACCCGAGATTTGCCCCGATTAGTAAAGCGCATGCATCTATTTTTTACAAAAAATCAACACAGCACCTCGGTGTGTACCTGGATAGAAGCTTCGAAAGCTCGTCGGCGACCGGTTTAAGTGTGTACTTGAGATTGGCGGTGCCGTCCGGTCGGCCCAAGTGCGACATGAGCACGATGCTCTTCGCACTCTTCTCGATCGCATACTTGATGGTGTCGAGGGCTGCCACGATACGTTGATTGTTCGTTATGACACCGTCTTTAAGGGGCACATTGAAGTCCACCCTGAAAGTAATCGCTTAGACTGTGACACTACCTTCGGAAAGTACCTCATCAGTACGCGTTTGCCCGCCAAGTTCAGAGCGTCAATGCTTAATTTGTGTAAAGCCATTTTTGCCGATGTAAATTTTGAAAATTTCCGGCGATTTAACCAAGCGGGCTCTGACCTTCGAATGTCACGTAGAGGTCGAAATGAGCAAAGTTGAATTTATTTATAGATATCTACATTATCAGCAAATAATCAGTGTGGCATCATATACAGGGTGCTTTGAAGTTCCTCCGACCTTCGGTGAACTACACAGGCAGAGGCGAGGTTGCTAACCAAGCGACATTGAGCTACATCTCCTAATTAAACTTGGCACGTGCTCTCTACAATGTAAATACAAAGAACTCATCCTTGTGGCATTTGGTGCGACAGAAATATCTCGACAAACAGTATCTAGGTAAATTAAAACTGTTCGTGGTGTCATTTGTGTGTATAGTATCTGATAAAAAATAAAACGTGAAGTAATTTAAAATATTGCATGCATAGCTACAATACCACCCATATTGACAAAGAGACTAAAATTAGATACCTTCAGCGCCCCCAATTGTTATTTAAATAGTCAGAGCATAACTTCCTGATTTATTCTCTCCCCGCAGTGAAACTGAAATCAGCTTTCTATCTAGGTTGGGGGGTGGAGTTTTCGATACAGTTGTTCATTTGAATTCTAATTGTGTAGGAACTTTTGTACTTTTCTAATCATTTCATACGCTTTTTTTCAAATCCTTCAGCTTCTCCATAATCCTAAACATTCTTTAAAACCTTCACATATTAAAGTATTCCTAATTTTTAACATTTTCTTAATTTGTTTCTTTGAGGCTTTAAGGTTCTTCCCAATCTTTGGATTCTTCGGTCTACCCATATGATCTTCAAATTCCTCATATTTTTCTACTTGAACGAAACTGGTAACGTACCCATATACAAAACATAAGCCTTTCCGATGCTAAAACTTCTAAAATCTTGAAATTTTAACACCCTGTAGATATGTAACGAAGCGTAGGTACGTTTGCGGATCTATGTTTATATGGAAATCATAAAATATGCCGAAGAATTAGCCTCTTCCGTATATACATCATATTTAGGAACATCCTGTATAAAAATCTCGTGTGACTGTGTTTGTGGTCGCACTCCTCCGAAACGGCTTTATGAATTTTGTTGTATACGTGATAGCTATGCAAATACGTCGTAATAGCTATTAACATACCTAGGATGTAAAGAATGTCATAACTGCCGCAAATGTCAGTTTGAATTATTTTTATTAATTAATTACTATTGTGAGGGGAGGCGGCGCAGCCGCCGAAACCGAGCGTATGCCCCATCGCTGAAAACGAGATTTCTCAAAGGTGGTACGAAGTTCGCATGGTCTGCTAGTGTTTATATAATTCTTCGTCTTTTCCGTATCTTTCCCATCTTCACGTTCTTTAAATCTCTTCAAATTCTTTAAATTGTTTGAACACATCCAATTTTTGAATTCTGTCAACTCTTCTTTTTGAGATTTTCGTGTACTTCGGATTCTTTGACGTTTTCAATCAGATCTGTTAAATTCTTCGGTTTCTTCAAATTTTTTTACTTTTTTTTACATTCTTTCCTGATTCTCCAATATTCTTCCAAACTATTTCACAATTTTTCCTTCAGTTATTAAACGTCTCTAAGCCCGTTTATGAAATTCCTTCAATACTTTCCTGTAGGTTCTTCGGGTGCGTTCAATTTTTCAAACTAGTCAAGTCCTTCAGAATTTTTTGAATTCTTCCATTTCTCACATTCTCCCGATTTTTCAATTCTGTTAGTCTATTAGATGCTTCAATTTCTTAAGATTCTTCTTACTCCTATTTTTCAAATTCTCCATTATTTAAAAGTCTTCAGATTATCTCGTTTTTTTGATTTTGAACTCCTCAAATTTCATCCCATAACTTTCTTGGATTCATCAGTTTCTTCCAATCTTTTTGATTTATCAAATTCCCGTCCCTAAATAGACCCCTTCGGTTTATACAGAATTAAATTTCTTAGATCTTTAGATTCGCTTCTTCGGATGCTTCCAACTCTGCAAATTCCTAATTCCTTTTAGTTTCTCCCTTTTTTTGAATATTTCGATTCATCAAATTCTTGAGGTTCTTCAGTTTTTATAAGTTTTTCAATTTTTGGCTCGTCAGGTTTTTTTAATTCTTCCGTTTTCTACATTTTTTAAATTATTTCAATTTTTTGAAATGTACTCAATTCGTCAATTCTTTCATGCGCCTCGGACAAAGGATGTTTCGAAATCTTTCATCTTTTTTTATCCTCCAGGATCGGCCTCGAATTGCAATGGCATTTTATAAATTTGTAAAAACCAATTCATGTTCAAAAACCATCCACACAAGGTACGCTTCAAATTGATACAATGAAATCAAATAGAAATGCGCGTGAGCTTGCTGCTAGTTAGATCAATTTTGAGCGTATCGGTAGTGGAGCGTGAGCGTCGTCTTGAAACAAGCTATACAGTTAGACATAAAAGGGCAGAATCGCCGTGCATGCGCAGGTTTGAGGGTGGTAGGTATTTATGCTAGCAACAGCAAATTTTTTTTAAATTAATGTCTAGAGTGTAAAACCGCAACGCCCCCAAACAAACCAAATCGAGTAGATTTCTTGTTATTGAAATTATGCACTTTCTAACGCACTAAAAAAACCAATTTTGCTTTACTACTGTTCAAATTTTATTTCCTGTCTAAGACTTATAAATAAGAAACTTGGCATTGCGCGGTCTGCGCATGCGCCCACCGGATGTTTAAGATATGCGATATGTTTGCTTTTACACGTGCCAAACCCCTAAACTACCGAATTCCTCGCACGGACGGAGAAAGTGGCCATAATAGCGCCTGCCAACATTAGTCGAAAAATCAGCGAAAGATAAAGTGCGATTTTTCATTTTGTTAGGGACGGTTTACGCTCTATATTACAACTTGCGTGCCTCAATGAAATGAAAACAGTAATCGCGCATTTGAAAGCGCACAATTTCGACAACGAAAATACTCCTTGTTTCCTCAATTTGGAAGTTATTTTTTTAAAAACTCCTAGACCTAAATAGCCCAATCTTTTGTGTTATTTTTGTAAACGTCTATCTAACGTGCGAGGAACAGTTTGTCCCCAGCGCAAATCAAACACGATTTTAATCCCCTCACATTAGTTAGGGTGGTATTGCATTGTGGTAAAAAGACAATGTAGATCTTTGGTGTACCGAAACAATGGTGCTTTTAATAAAAATACACGGTTTTCTGTTTTTAAAACGGTGATTTTGTATGTGCGTTTCTATTTCGAATGTCGTGATAGAATGAAGGCGAGCAGGAGAAGACGTTGAAGTTCTTAAAATATAAAAAATCGCGATAATTCAAAAAACTGTTTGCCTCACCTAAAACAAACAAAAAAAAGTGCAATCGCGCAACACTGTAAATGATAAATTTGTGCGATGATCGCATCAGTCGACCGAAAACAAAAACAAACACACTGAAGATGGAAATAACAAAGAGATGGCAGTAGTGCGTTAAATTTAACCTTAACCCCTCTCGTTTCTTCTAGGGTCGTTTCTATTTGTTGAAAATTGAAAAATTTTAATTACGTCCCGTCTTTGTTAATGATATTTGTCTCAATTAGCGCAGTGGAAAGTCGTCCTTGATTCGTAAGGACGCACGAAACTGCAACGTTGGAACACAATGGCCAAGGAGGAGGAGGAAGATCACCTCCCTGATAAAGACGCGGCGAAAGGCTTCTACGCGAAGTACGAGCCAAAGGAAATCCTGGGAAAGTAAGTGAGATCCGTGTTTACGGTTAGATTTCACCCGATTTACTTGACAGGGGTATCAGCTCGACGGTGCGGCGGTGCATCGAGAAGGAGACGGGGAAGGAGTACGCCGCGAAGATTATCGATCTGAGTGCAGACAGCGAGGACGGTCCCTCCTCGTACGAGCAGGTCAAACAGGAGATTTCCATCCTGCGACACGTCGCCGGCCACCCGTACATAAGTGAGCACGTGACCGCCGGTGTTGAACTTGCATCGTTAACGGCCCCCCTTTTTCCAGTCGAGTTGCAGGACGTTTTCGAATCTAGCACGTTTATTTTTTTAGTTTTCGAATTATGTAAGCAGGGCGAACTGTTCGACTACCTCACGTCCGTCGTGACGCTCTCCGAGAAGAAGACCCGCTACATCATGCGACAGGTGCTGGAAGGCCTGCAGTACGTACACGGTCGCGGAATCGTTCATCGTGACCTCAAACCGGAGAATATCCTATTAGACGATAATTTAAATGTGAAAATTACCGACTTCGGTTTCGCGCGAAAGCTCGCGCCCGGCGAGCAGCTGTTCGGTATGGCGATCATTCGGCACGGGCACAGTAAATTAGGGCAATTTTGTAGATTTGTGCGGAACGCCCGGATATCTGGCGCCGGAGACCCTACGGACGAATATGTTGGAAGATGCCCCCGGTTATTCCTATCAAGTCGACATGTAAGTTTTGATGTCGGTGGGAAATTAGTACAGATTTTGTTTTAGATGGGCGTGCGGTGTCATAATGTATACCCTGTAAGTATTGTCGCAAGCATAATTCGCCTGAAAATCGAATTGAATTTGCAATTATAATATAACCTCAATCTTTTTATCCGTTAAGTAGGACAGAATATGAATACCTGAAATGTGACTTCATCTCTTAGCATTGTTTACAATTTTACATTATTGCATAATATACACGTTACAGTATGGCCACGAAATAGTAAACAGTGTGGCGCCTTTAAACAGCTACATAGATGGCGCTAAAACAAACTGTTACAGTAGCTGATTTTATCTTTTTCTTTAGATAGGTATGCAAGTGAAGATTTTGTGATCTGACAAGAGCGTTTGATTGCGTCAATATTAAACACTTATTGGATAAGTTATGGCAATATGGCGTAAGGGGTGTAACTCTGCAATGGTTGTCCACATTTTTACTAGACGGGAAACAGGTTGTCACATTGACTCAATACCAAACTGGAGTTTACAGTACACACATCAAATTCTACAACTGTGAGAATGGGCGTCCCACAGGGGTCAGTCTTGGGACCCATTCTCTTTTTACTCTATGTCAACGATTTAACATCTTGCCTAAATCAACAAATTGGTTGTGTGCTTTATGCGGACGACACCTCCTTATTAATCTCAGATAAAGATCATAACTCTCTTCAAGCAATATCCGATGTAAATCTACGTAAACTTCATCAGTGGTTCAACAGGAACTCTTTAACTCTAAATGGAAACAAAACAAGCTACATTAGATTTCATAATTACAATAGTGAACCTCAAACTATAAATTTATTAATCGACGGTAAGGCGATCCAAAAAGTAACTTCTACTAAGTTTCTAGGAATTATAATAGATGAACATCTAAACTGGAAATTGCACTGTACTAAGGTCATTGATAAACTTTCCAAACTAAACTTTATGGTCAGGAACTTACGGACGGTTATGATGTTGCCACAGTTAATAAACATATATCATGTGTTGGTTGCGTCTGTAATTAGGTATGGTATATGTCTATGGGGAATATCCATTAAGTCAAAACACGTATTTGTATCTCAGAAACAAATTCTGAGAACAATTACGAATGTATCCAAATTTCATACCTGCAGGGAGATCTTCAGGAAACTTAACCTCCTTCCGTAACCGGCATGTATACAGGGTGACAATTTGAAAACTTACCACCCCCCATATCTTAGTAAATAAACGAGATATTTAAAAAAATCAAAATCCGTTTCGGTAATTCGGAAGCGGAATCACAATGACATAGTTGGCGACGCACACCCCCTGCGCCCTAGCCACCCCAACTTTTAAATCTTAAATAGTGACTCCCCATGTGTGATACGTCGTTGGAAAGCTCTGAAAAAATGCTTTCCAACCATACCAAATAGTATTACATTTAGGTTAGTAATTATCGTGCAAATCAAAAAATAAACATGAAAAATCGTATTTAACTTGAACTTCCAAAGCCGACTCGACAGCAACTGATTTTTGATCGGCAGTTATAATCTATTCTCAAACTCTTATCGAACCTTTCCAATGTTGGTTTTGCAATATTTCGACATTCTTGAATTATTCTCTGTCTTAGTTCGTCTATGTTCGCCGGTTGCGTTTTAAATACGACAGATTTCAAATGTATCATATTAGTTTATTTTTTGATTTGCACGATAATTACTAACCTAAATATAATGCTATTTGGTATGGTTGGAAAGCATTTTTTCAGAGCTTTCCAACGACGTATCACACATGGGGGGTCACTATTTAAGATTTAAAAGTTGGGGTGACTGGGGCGCAGGGAGTTGGAGGGGGTGCGTCGCCAACTATGTCATTGTGATTCCCCCTCTGAATTACCGAAACGGATTTTGATTTTTTTAAATATCTCGTTTATTTACTAAGATATGGGGGGTGGTAAGTTTTCAAATTGTCACCCTGTATATTTGAAATAAGTAAACTTATTTTTAATAGTCGGCAGAAATTAAAAACAAATAGAGATGTGCACTCTTATAATTTACGCAACAATGATCAGTTCAGGACAGAATTGGCCAGATCAAAAATAGGACAAAATTCTCCACTAGTTTCAGGAATTAAAATTTTCAACCATTTACCTACCTCATAATATAAGAACCTGCCTTACATGGAAAAAATTTAAAAAGAAATTGTACGAGTATCTAGTCAATGGGTGTTTCTACAACATACAAGAATTTTTTATATCTTCCAATATTTAATTGTTTGTTTGTGTAACTGTTCGTTTGTTTAATTAATGTTATATTGACTTGTTCCATACAAATGTTATTTGTCGAAGGAATTAAATAAAAATGAATGAATGAATGAAAAGTGTAACGTACACCAAGCAAATGGGGTTTCGGTGACTGAGGGGTAAACCACTTCAAATTTGGTGTCCACTAAAATTCTAAAAAAATTATTCAAAAAAATTTAGCCAACAAATTAAGAAAATTCGCAAAAGACTTTAAATTATCAAAGAAAAATTTAGAAAATTCGAAAATTGCGTAAAATAATAATGTATGCAAGTGCGTTTGGAAATAGTTCTAGAAAATTCGCAAAAAATTCTAAATTAGCCAAATAAAATGAGAAAATTCAAAAATTGCATAAACTAATTGTGTATGCATGTGTCTTCAGAAAAAATTCTAGAAAATTCGCAAAAAATACTAAATTAGCCAAAAAAATTTAGAGAATTCGAAAAATGTATAAAATAATAATTGTGCACGTGCGTTCAAAAAAATTCTAGAAAATTCGCAAAAGATCCTAAATTAATAGTGTATGCTTGTGCGTTCAGAAACGGTTCTAGAAAATTTGCAAAAAATTCTAAATTATCCAACAAAAATTTAGAAAATTCAAAAAGTGCATAAAATAATCGTATATGCATGTGCGTTTAGAAAAAAATTGTAGAAAATTAACAAAAAATTCTGAATTATTAAAAAAAAATTTAGAAAATTCGAGAAATATCGCAGACAATTGTCTAAAAATATTAAAAAATTCGAAAATTGCATAAAATAATAATGGTGTATGCATGTCATGTGTTCAGAAAAAATCTAGAAAATTCGCAAAAACTACTAAATTCAAAAAAATTTAGAAAATGCGCAAAAATTTTACATTCAAAAAAAATTTTAATAATTCTAGAAAAATCACAAACCATTCTAAATTTAAAAAAATCTAAAATTGCATAAAATAATAATTGTATATGGCTGTGCGTTCAGAAAAAATTCTAGAAAATTCACAATCTTAAATTATTCAAAAAAAGTTAGAAAATTCAAAAATTATATGCATGTTCATTTGAAAAAATTCTAGAAAATTCGTAAAAATTCTAAATTATACAAAAAAATTAAAAAAATTCGCAAAAAATTCTAAATTATCCAAAAAAATTTAGAAAATTCGAAAATTGCGTAAAATAATAATTGGGTGTGCATGTGAAAAAATTTTAAATTATCAAAAAAAAATTTAGAAAATGCGTAAAAAATACTAAATTATTCAAAAAACATTAGAACTTTTAAAAACATCGCAAACAATTCTAAATTATCCAAAAGATTTAAAAACTTAAAAAGTGTATAGAATAATAACTGTGTAGGTATGTACGTTCGAGAAAATTCTAAATTATCCAAAAAAATTTTGAAAATTGGAAAATTGCGTTTGGAAAAATTCTAGAAAATTCGCAAAAATCGTAAATTATTTTTAAAAAATTCAAAAATTGTATTCAGAAGCAATTCTAAATTATCCAAACAAAATTCGAAAATTGTACAAAATAATTGTATATGGCTCTGCGTTCAGAAAAAATTCTAGAAAATTCGTACAAATCCTAAATTATTCAAAAAAAAATTAGAAAATCCGTAAAATAATGATTGTGTATGTATGTACGTTCGGAAAAAATTCTAGAAAATTAGCAAACGATTTTAAATTATCCAAAAAAAATTTGAAAATGCAAAAAATTGTAAATTAAAAAATTTTGAAAATTCTAGAAATATCGCAAAAAATTCTAAATTATCCAAACATAGTTTGAAAATTCGAAAAATGTGTTCAGAAAATATTCTAAAAAATTCGTAAAAAATCGTAAATTATATAAACAAAATTCAAAAATTGTATGCATGTGCATTCGAAAAAATTCTAGAAAATTTGCAAATAATTTTGAAAATTCAAAAATTGTATGTATGTGCGTTCGGAATAACTATAAACTTCGCGAAAAATTATAAATTATGCAAAAAATGTAGAAAATTCTAGACAATTCGAAATAATCCAAAAAAATTTCGGAAATTTGGAAAAAATTCTAGAAAATTCGCAATATATTTTAAATTATTCAAAAAAGTGTAGAAAATGTTAGAAAAATCGCAAACAATTCTAAATTTTCCAAAAAAAAGTCGAAAATTGTATAAAATAATAATTCTATATGACTCTGTGGTTCAGAAAAAATTCTATAAAATTCGCAAAGAAATCGTAATCGCAAATTATCCAAAAAATTTAGAAAATTCGAAAATTGCGTAAAATAACATTTGGGTGTGCATGTGCATTCACAAAAAATTAGCAAACAATTTTAAATTATCCAAAAAAAATTTAGAAAATTCGAGAAAAATCGCAAACAATTCTAAGTTATCCAAAAGATTTAGAAAATTGAAAAATTGTATAAAATAATAATTGTGTAGGTATGTACGTTCGGAAAAAATTCTACAAAATTCGCAAAACATTTTAAATTATCCAAAAAAATTCAGAAAATGTGCAAAAAAATTCTAAATTTAAAAAATTTAAAAAATGTTAGAAAAATCGCAAAAATTCGAAAATTGCGTTCACAAAATATTCTAGAAAATGCGCAAAATATGCTAAATAACATTTAAAAAAAAAATTCAAAGATTGTATGCATGTGCATTCTAGAAAATTCGCAAAAAATTCTAAATTATATAAAATAGTAGTAATAGTGGTAATAATATTTATTTTTGTGATTATACATTGTGTATTACAAACGTCATAAAAAAATGTTTATAATGATTGTTAAATAATCTATCAGTTTCACAATAAGTATACGGGGTCAGATACAGCTATCGGACCTAATCTAGTTTTTTGAAATAAAACAACCAGTATATGTTAATCTACCCCCTACCCTTTAACCCTTGGTACTCTTATGGCTTCTGGAAATGCCAATGGAACCACTGTATACTGGTGGGGACTCCACACCCTCGGTAACACTTTCCCCCACAAGCCGTTTGGCCCGCTGGACTCTCATAATAGTTTTTTGGAAAATGATCGGATCCTCTTCTGACAAGAATTATTGCATAGGACATAGTACTTGGGGTCTGGGGAGCATATAGTGGTTCCATTGGCATTTTCAGAACCCATGAGAGTACCGAGAGTTAGAGGGTAAGGAGTTGTCGATTAGTCCTTTGCTGAGAGCCCTCTTTTCAAAAATATAACTAAAAATTAAAAAAAATTTAGTATTGATTCAAAAAGATTTGAAAAAATGTAAACAATTAAAAAATGTTTTTGGATTTCATTTGTTTTTTTTAATCTTTTTGAATTACGAATCTTTTTTTGAATATTCTGTGTTATACTTAGCAGTCAAACACTTCTAGAACATTCTCGAATAAACACATCACATTTCCCGGAACAATCCGTCTTCATTCGTTATTGCCGGTGACTAATCTTTTATCGACTTGATGGCGCCCCGAGGTCGCTCTAGAAAATTCGTTATAATCTTACATAATAAGCGTTAGTACTTTTATAACTAATAAACGCTATACAAAAGTATATATAAATCTTTGTAGACAATTTAGTCTGTGATTGCATTTAAAAAAATCAATCTCGATCACATCTTTGTTTTTGAGGAGAGTAATAGCCCCCATTTGTTTTTGACAGTACTATTTTTTTAGAATGTGAAGAAGACACTGATTAATTTTTCCTGGGAGAACAATGGTCTCTCTTGGAGCACTGTGTCCTACTTTGTTTCTTACTAGAACATGTACCTCGTTTTTTTGCATAGTACCTTTTTGTTAGGATTGAGGTGGCGACAATAATTGTCTTCCAAGAGGAAATTGATCCTACTTTCTTCTCGTGAAGTGTAACACTTTAAAATGGAGAAATAATTTGGGTAGTTAGACTTAACTAACCTCTACGAGGGTGTGATGCGAACGGTTAATACAACCTGATTTGGATAAACGTATCTCAAATACAGACTGTTTTCTACAACATTAATAATAATAATCTGATCAGAAAATCAATTTTTGATTGATCTAATCCCTGTCCTCTCTGTAGCTTAGTAGGTTGTCCACCATTTTGGCATCGAAAGCAAATGGTAATGCTCAGGAACATAATGGAAGGAAAGTACTCGTTCACATCACCGGAATGGGCGGACGTCTCAGGTGGGTACGGGCGCGAGTGTTGCCGTTAACGAACGATTGTGTTTTAGAAGCGCCGAAGGACCTGATCCGTAAATTGCTGGTTGTCGATCCGATGAAGCGCATCTCCATAGCCGAGGCGTTACGCCATCCGTTTTTCTTGAGCGTTGTAAGTTCGTCTACCAACTATCTTTTTTTTTATGTATGTGTTGCGCTTCCTTTTTTGTTGTGACTTTACGTAATTGGGAGTCCCAATTTCAGCAACTATGGGATCAGGACATTGCCCCACTTAAGCAATCGTTGCACCGTAAAAGCCACCGCTTCAGTGTCATCTCACAACTGGTTTGGGTAACTTACACCGTTCCTTTGGTTTAACTGTAGTTTTTTACTAACACTGCTTGGTCTTGATGTACTTAATCGAAATTGTGGGCGCGCAGAAGTAACATGCGATGTTCGTTTTAGAAATTGCAACAGCGCTCGTTTCATCCGAAGAAGAAGTTCCAGTGGGCGATTCGAGTGGTCCGCGCCATGATACGTATACAACGGTTGCGATTTACGCCCGAGCCGCTTAGTTTAGACATCGCGCGCGTCGACCCCTATAGGATTAAGTTATTGCGAAAAGTGAGTGTGGCCTTTTTTTTGCGCGTTCGGCGCTACTGATGATCGTTCTCGTTGCAGGTCATCGACGGTTGCGCGTTCCGTGTCTACGGCCACTGGGTGAAGAAGGGCGAGGGACAGAGCAGGGCGGCGCTGTTCGAGAATCTACCGAAGACGGAACTGAAACATATCTATGTTACCAATTTGAGTAGATAACTAGGAATTTTAAATTTTGTCTTTAGTTCAAATTTAGCAAAATTTTATAACCGAATTGTATTACTATAAATATCAATTTATTTATTGCGATAATGCGTTTTAAGTCGACCGTGACGTAGTTACCAAAAGAGACCAAATTTGTGTGCTTACTAAACGGGCACGTTTTAGTAATTTTCTTGTTCATGTTAGTATTTTTGTTATAGAATTGTATGTATGATGAAATAAAATGATTAAATTAATCGTTTATGTTATCAGAACTAAATGCTCGGGCGCCAATGATGGTGGTAACCTCCTTTGGAAAATTTTGAACACACCTTGCAGATCATAGCGACCCTGTTGGTTAAAAGGCGTCAGTGCCACTGGTGGTCACCAGATTCAAAGAATTCGAGGCACAGAACGATTTGAGATGTCACCTTTCAAAATTTCAAATGACAAATACCGTTGGTGTATATAGAGACAACGCTGGGAATGGAACTGTGCAACAATGTAATAATTTCATAACTAGTGTCTTGGTTTAGCTTTGTTGATTTTGCATTTTGCTCAGTTCTTACAGGTTGATGATAAAATTTAGCGAATCTGCCTTTTTGAGTGTATTTCACTTTTTCGATGCTGAAGTGATAGATACTTAGCGGCATTTATCTCGAAATACAACTTAAGTTTAAGGTTACCGTATCGAGGACCTTCAGATACCTTCTGTACTGGAGAAGGTTCGGCTAATTTCATGAAACAATGGTAAGTGACTTCGACTGTTATTTTTCACAAATGCGAAAGAAGTGGAGTCGCTTTGAAATATATTTGAGCTGGCCATTCTTGGGCTTATCAAATGTATTAAATTAACGTCACATTTAAATTCAAGAGTTACTTCCTCAGATTGTTAATTTTTGTATAATGTAGATGTGATGTAAATGTGTTTAGCGTTTCCACAGTTGCCTCTATACTTACCGTCCGGAATTATCTTCGGCTCGGTCCTTTTGTCCGAAGAGTTCTAGGGAAACATGGAATTTCTTTGGCTTTAAATGCATTCTGTCTAAATTTATAGGAACTCTTGCAGTTTTTTTTGATTCATTTTACTCTTTTTGATGCTTTTCAAACTCAATGTGTATTATCTGTGTTCAGTGGCGGTCCCGGCCCCCTCTCATTGTCCATTTTTTTCATCAGATTTCTTTTATTTTTTTCCGTGTTGGGACAAAGTTCGGGCTTGGGCCTTTACAAATCGTAGGACCGTTACTGTCTTGTGTTAACTTGGGTATGAGTGGGCGCAAACTGGTTAGGCACATAAGTACAGATCTGTCCAACGCCACATGCGAACGTAGCTTGCAACTTCCATTTTGTGTGACGCGCTGATATAAGAACTCGAAGAGAAGTGTAATGTCCCTAGGGGTCTATCAAGCAGACACTGAAAACGTTGACTTACCCTATACTTACCGTTGGCAACTCTGGGAACAAAATCTGTAAGCAGAGCCACCTACCTTTAAAGTCGAAGCGGTGGACGTTTCGCGGCACTTTTGAATTTGGATGGCAGTCTGCTCAATATGGTTGGCACGAATGAACTCCTACGTTATGTAACTCTGTTCTTGTATGTGTTGGGACGTGAGACATAATCGGGAAGGGAATTAAATAAAAGACAGAACCTTTGTGCGTAAGAAACGACAAGAACAAATAAATAAATAAACTAGACCATGCCACGGAAACCTTCTACGGGACAAAAACCCCGACATAGGGCGCACACAAATACATAAAATAAATCACCTACGGCAATAAAATGCAAGAGAAAATTCAAATAAATAAAACATCTCAAATTGTATGATAAATATCAGATAATTAAATTAGCTCAGGAGCACCTGTGGTTTGAAGATAGCGCCTAATCTAATGTATCCCAAAAGCGTTTGCTCAAGTCCAATCTATTATTTATCTACAATTAGCACAATTTACAAACTTTACCCTTTAATGTTTCAAAAGGTGCATTTTAAGAGAGGTTTTACTTTTTGTCCTAAAAACACACATAGCACATTTAAAATCCATTAGAAACTTTTGTGTCAAAAAATGTTTTTTTAAGTTGCACTTAAAATGTGTCTGATAATCACAATTAACACATTTAAAATCCTTATTAGAAACCCTATGTTTTAAAAGATGTTGTTTGAAGTTGCATTTAACATTGGTCTGATAATCACAATTAGCACATTTAAAATCCTTGGAAAGTTTATGTGTTAAAAGATGTTGTTTAAAGTTAAATTTAACATTGGTCCGATAATTACAATTAGCACACTTAAAATCCTTAGAAATTTTATGTGTTAAAAGATGTTTCTTTAGGTTGCATTTAAAATTTGTACGATAATCACAATTAACACACTTAAAATCCTTAGAAACCCTATGTTTTAAAAGATGTTGTTTCAAGAAGTCTTTATTATTTGTTCCATAATCACAAGTAGCACAATGAAGATCCTTCGAAACTTTATGTTTTAAAATATGTCGTTTGAAGTGGTGTTTATTATTTGTCCCAAAATTACAATCAGCACATTTAAAATCCTTAGAAACCTTATGATTTAAAAGATGCTGTTTCAAGTGGTCTTTATTATTAGTCCCATAATCACATGTCGCACATTTAAAATCCTTAGAAACTTTGTGTTTTACAAGATGCCTTTTGAAGTTGCGTTTAATATTTGTCTTATAATCGCAATCACCACATTTAAAATCGTTAGAAACTGTATGTATTAAAAGATGTTGTTTAAATGTGCTTTTCACATTTGTCTCATAATCACAATCAGCACATTTAAAATTTTTAGACACTGTTGGACACAGAGTTAAAAGGTGACGTTGAACGTCAAAGTGTTGCTGTACTTCATTAACAAAAGATTTAGAACACGGTGTACTAATAGTAATTTCATCCTTTGTTGTCACCAAAACTTCGTTGTTTACCGAAATCTGTCCCTGAAGAAAGGAATGGATTTCTTCTTCTTGTTTTGGTTCGATTTTTATGAGTAGTGTGTCATTATCTCCATCCATACCGAACAACAATAATGTTACAATTAAATCTGTTTTGGTTTATCAAAAATCTAGTTTAGTACCTACCTATTGAACAATACAGAACGTGAATCCTATTTGCTATTTTCTGAGTTACAGAATGTAATGAATAACAGTTACACCACGCCATAGGTCATAGGTAAGTAATTATATTATTATAACAAAAGGTTTGTTCGTTTGTCTGCACTAATCAACACTGGTGTACCAAATGCGTTCGTTTGTCTGTTTGTAACTGCATGCATTCCGTTCGTTTGTGTAGTGCAATTTGCCCATTTCAGTTCATAACAGCACAAACTTGTTCGTGCATTTTAGTGCGAGCAACTTAGTGCAGCATAAATTAGACGTGAAACGACCGTTCTCATAACCATAAACATTTTGAAAAAACAAGGTGGGGAATCTGCGATGAATAAATTATTGGAAATGGAACTTTTATTTCATGATATTATTGAACAATTTATAAGTAGATCGTCAAGTGAGGAAGATAATATTGCAGAGGTCATACAACAAGTAAATGAAAAATAGTTTCCTGTATAATAAATAATAAATTTATCACTCATGATGCAGTACAAACGTTTTTTGCTGGTTATTTATTTACTATACCCTAAATAAGCGTTCGTTTGTTAGATGCCAGTGCATCAAAAACTGATTACTCCAGCTTACACCGTGACGTCACATCAGTGTTGCACCAAACCAATCGAGCAAGACAAACGAACAAACCTAAAAACTTATAATAGTTGTAATTTATAGGTTATACCCATAATGCTAAATACAGTATGGAATATGCGTCTATTTTTAGCATATTCGGATGTGGCGCCGTCTGGTGGCGAATTTAACATAAGATGTGGTGAAACAAGTTCATCGACCGTTTATTACTGTATTAATATTTACAAGCTTACTCCAAATAAAACAACAATTATGACTTCAAAAGCACTTTTCGTTCGTCCAGAATTTCTTGTTGTGTACAGGGTGTACCACTTTTACGGTGTCATAACTTACCTTTGTGTTAGAAACTTAAAATACTACCGCCGAACACCGTTCTTACGAATTACCAAAGGATCCTTATAATCTACGCAATCACCACCTGCCTCCCCTAGGCCGGTCCCTGTCCCTATCTGCCACTGCCAGGCTCTTCAGGTAAGCTGTCGTGCAGTCAAGTCCTCTATCATAGAAATGAACAAATATTTGCAATCTCATCTTCACAATTCAAGCAAACCCAAACAATTTATTTCACTCTAAATATACCGATAATGCATTTTGGGAAAAGTATTTAAAATGGAACGATTTTTAAAGTATCTATGGAGTAAATTCCAATCTATTATTTATCTCATACTCACAATCAATACATTTAAAAACTTAGACTATGTTTTAAAAGGTGCTGAATAAGATGGATTTTACTTTTTGTTTCAAAATCACAACTAGCGCATCTCCTTACAAACTTTATGTTTTAAAAGATGTTGCTTCAAGTAGCGTTTAGCCTTTGCCCGATAATCGCAATTAGCACATTTAAAATCCTTAGAAACTCTATGTTTTAAAAGATGTTTTTTGAAGAGCTCTTTGTTATGTGTCTCATAATCACAAGAACCACATTTAAAATCCTTCGAAACTTTATGCTTTAACATATGTTGTTTGAAGACATATTTATTATTTGTCTCGTAATCACAAGCAGCACACTTAAATTCCTTAGAAGCCTTATGCGTTAAAAGATGTTGATTAAGATTGCTTTTATAATTTGTTTTATAATCACAATTAGCACATTTAAAATCCTTAGACACCCTATGTTTTAAAAGATGTTGTTTGAAGTGGTTTTTATTATTTGTTCCATAGCCACAAGTACCACATTTCAGATCCTTCAAAACTTTATGTTTCAAAACATGTTGTTTGAAGACATGCTTATCATTTGTCCCGTAATCACAAGTAGCACATTGAAAATCCTTGGACACTTTATGTGTTAAAAGATGTTTTTTAAAGTTGCGTTTAACATTTGTTCTATAATCACACTTAGCACATTTAAGATCCTTAGACACTCTATGTTTTGCAAGATGTTGTTTGAAGAGGTCTTTGTTATTTGTCCCATAATCACAAGTACCACATTTAAGATCCTTCGAAACTTTATGTTTTAAAATATGTTGTTTGAAGACATTTTTATTATTTGTGCCGTAACCACAAGCAGCACATTTAAAATCTTTAGAAACTTTATGTGTTAAAAGATGTTGTTTAAAGTTGCTTTTATAATTTGTTTCATAATCACAATTAGCACATTTATAATCTTTAAAAACCCTATGTTTCAAAAGATGTTGTTTGAAGTGGTTTTTAACGTTTGTCTCATAATCACAGGTACCACATTTAAGATCTTTAGAAACTTTATGTTTTAAAATATGTTGTTTGAAGACATATTTATTATTTGTCCCATAATCACAAGTAGCACATTGAAAATCCTTGGTTAAAAGACTTTTGAAGTTGCCTTTATAATTTGACTCATAACCACAATCAGCATATTCAAAATCTTTACACTCTGTTTTGCACGGTACTATAAGATCATGCTGAAAGTCAAGGTGTTGCTGTACTTCTTCATTATAAAAAGATTTAAAACACGGTGTACCAGTAGTAACTTCATCCTTTATTGTCACCAAAGCTTCGTTACTTACTGAACTGTGTCCCTGGAGAAATGAATGGATTTCTTCTTCTCGTTTTGGTTCGATTTTAATGAGTGGCGTGTCATTATCTTCATCCATAGCTAATAACAATAAATGTGCTAAAAATCTCGTTTTGGTGTATCCAAAATCTATTACGTAGATCTGAAGATAGCCATGGGAGAGTCAGGCAACAATACAGGGTAACTTACTTACTTTCTGAGTAACAGAATTTGGTAAATACACCACGTAACTCGTAATTGGAATAGTATTTATCAATCAACGATATAGGTTAACTCACAGAATACGGCCTTCTCAGAATAGAAACAGCAATGTTACAAATTTGTATGGTATTTTGGCGGACCCTGGTGGGTGTACTATGCATCAAAATCAGAGTAGCGCCATCTGGTGACCAGCTTCTAAATCCATGAATTAATTTCCCCAATTCGATCTAAATCACAAATATAGATAAAGAATACACAGTTGTTAAATTGCAAGTATATTTAGATACAATCACATTACATTATTTAACACAAACATCTTAAATTACATGTTTACAAATTACATATAAAACTCAGAAGTAAGTGCAACTTACGCTTTGTAGAAGTTAACACCTTGCAAAAAGATCCTTACGTAACGAGTTGCCCTACGAAATATTTGGTTTTAATTGCTGTTTGGACTACATATTTTTGTCAAAAAATATCTTTAGAACTAAATTTTTTGTTCCAAGAGGTGATAAAACCGTTTCAGCAAATTGTCACACAAGTTTTTGGCAACAAATGTTAACTTGATCCTGGTGCTTACTGGTTAGTTGAGAAGCGAGGGTGGAAGTTGTTGAATTATCTAAAACGAATTACAATATAAGTATCTACATCTATATAAATATAAAACTCAAGTCTACACCCTTTTGCGCCTATAGGTACAGTTGGTAATAATTCTGCGTCAATTTGTACCTGTTACCTACCTTGCATAAATAGGAAAGAAATAACAGCACATTTCAACCCTCTTCGCGTTTCAAGCACAAAACAAGCTGTTTCAAAATGTGGGAAACGATGCCTTTTTGATATTTTATTGTTACAATCCGACACACAACACTTTTTACGGTCACATAACTTGGTCATATTTTAAATCTTTCAAAAGTCAAAATTGACATGTGGAAAACCTGTGTACGTATAAAATCGACGGTAAAAATATTTCCTGTAACGAGCAAAATTACAGGTTTTGCAAAAAAATATTTGAGTCTGCGATAAATAGTTCTCCGTACAACCACGGGAAACGCTGTAATCAGTGACAATTTAGCGCCATTTATGTTTCTGTTCTGTGAAGGTCTTATTCTGTGGGTTAACTCAATTTAGATGCCTATATTTCTAGATTTTTGCTGTCAAAAAATAATTGTTCTAATATTTACCATAGACATTATCATAAATAAAACACCTTTTTATTTATGGACATTATTAATGATCTTCTACTATCTTGGCGGGCTAACGCCAACTTCAAGTCACACTGGAATATTTGACCATTCTGTAGTAGCGGGAATGCCAAACTAACCTGGCTGCCTATTTGAATATTCTCGCTTAAGCTTCCCTCGCGAGAAACTGTCACTCGGAGGCCACTCCGAGTGCACTAAGATCGTGATCGTCATGTAGGACCACTACGTTGTGTAATAACTGGGTTCTCAGCAGGCACTGAGGGCGTTTTATGGGAAAGGAACACCAAAAGCAATAGCTGATTAATATTATATTCAAGCTAATACCAATACGGTGACCCTGCAGAGGGTCTTAAGTGGTTCTATACTACTCTGGCAGTTACCTTATGAATTAGGGAAACTGCAGGGAAAACCTAATTCGGAGTAGTCCTATAATGAACAAAGCCTACAGCTAACATCCAATGTACCGCACTTTTGAGCCATCTCGAAACTGGGGTAACTACCACAAACACGCTATGAGTAACCAAAATGGAATCGAGCCATTCCCCAGGTATTACAACACATACATCGGACAAAACTAAGAGATAATTAAATAAACCTCGCCGGGCGGTAGGATTACCCAGGCCCAGTGGGGTGCCTGTAGACGTGGGCTAAAGTTGTTGGGTTTCGGAACGAGTGAAAATGTTAGTGTTAGGTTCACCGAGGCCCATATAAACTTGAATAACTCGATCCCCTCTAAACAAGCACACTTCCCTCTTGATTACTCACAGTCTCAAATAAACAAATAATAATGAAATGCAATGAAATAATCGAAAGTGACTAAAAGCACAATACACAAATATGTACAGAACAGATACAGCCCTACCGACAATGAAACACGATTGCCAATGCCAACAAAGGTTACACATTAAAGGTACAAGTGATTGAATTCAGTAAGTACATAAGTAAAGGGTTACAATCTGCATTCAAGTTACACACATTTATAGATTAATTGAATAAAGCAAATACCTCACCTGATACAAAAAGCAAAAGCACACAGCAATGATTAAGGTATAACAAAATATTTCAAGTTGAGCCGTACCTACTTTACACTTAAGCCGGTTACCAGAAAAAAAAACCATGGACACACGTCATGTTAAATCGTATTTATTGACTACTCCAAGCGACTCGGTAATTTGATCTCTTAACACCCCTAAAATACCACCCGAAAATCGCTCATTCCCTGCATTTCACGCATTTCTAGCAAACAAAACTGGACTGCAGGTGTTAGAAATGGTAAACACATGTGGTCTTCCGAGAAATTCCATCCGTCTCATCTTCGCTCTCTTTCCCTTTTCTGTAATCCCACCAGATTTCGGTTGGCAGCTTGTGTAACTAACATGATGTATAGGGTGCTTCGTATCGACAATCATGTTCACAGGACGTTGCTAAGGTTGGGGCATCTCAGGGTTCCGCGGATGGATTACAAATAGGAAATCTATTAGCGCATGCGTAGAAATTTTTCCGCGCCTTTGGATCTGCGAATGCACAGGGCGTATGATTTGAGTTTTTAGGAAGCACCTTCCCGTAAGTTAGGAAAAATCCGCTCCCCGTGAGAAAATTAGATCTGCGCATGCGCAATCTATTATGTGACGCGTCATTTCAATTTATTTTGCAGAAAAATCAGTCCTTAGAATAAAGTTGATTCTGCACATGCACAATCCATTTTTTAACTTGTTAGCGTGGCTGCAAGTAACGGAGCAAATTTTCTTAGTTCTGTTGAAAGTAGATTATGGTTTAGATCTACATTTTTGGCCTCCCTTGTCCAAAGCTTCACATGTGGGTTTTGGCTAATCAAGGTAAATGCCAAGCACATAGGATTTATAAACACAATAAATTCAAGAAGTTTAAAATTGTGAAGAGTGACTTCACATTTACTATGCTTTTTTGTATGTACTTTCGAAAACAATCTTTTACCATAAACCATTCTCAGAGTCTAATCTTGACATGTTTTAGGTGCAACAAATAAAGGTAATAACAAACTTTAGAGATAATTTAATAAATAAAAAGGTAAATAATAAGCTGCATAATGCACATTAAATTTATTTACACATCAAATAGGTGCAGCTTACTTCTACGTATTTACAAGAAATTCTAGAGATCTTTTTTATATGTTGCCCTACGTTAAAAGGTAGGGCAATTTTAGTACAGCCATTAAACATTTTATATAAATAAATAGGTAGGGTAGGTACGACAAGGTGATTAATAAAAAAATAATAGATACATAAATATACATAAAATTACAGCACTTGTCTATCTCATTGGAAGAATAGCGTCCTGCACTATAAGTGGAAATTAAAATTAATAATCGTCGTTAGCGCCGACGTTAACAGTTCAAATTAAATGCGCACACACGTTTATTCCCTCTTTCTCTCTCGCGCGCGCGCTCTCTCTCTCTCTCACTCTTAGGGAACTGCGGTAATAATACTACGGTTATACTATCGGTATTGGAATAAACCGTATCTAATACACCGACTTGAAATTGGCTAGCTGGGACGAGGGGCGACGGATGGTTGTGAGCTAACCACAACGACCGGTTTCACGACATACTGAGCGTTCACCACTGGCAGTACCTGCAAGAGAGAGCGGTTAGAAAGTGGCGACACGGCAAATATACGTTACCTTTCCGTTCAGTTGCTGCGTGGGAGCTGCTATGAAATGCGCCACCGGACTGGAGACGGCCGTCAGCGGCGACAAATCCGCTATGCCCTTGGGGATGAGCGCGACCTTGTGTAGTACGACGCCCTGCGTTACCGGGTAGCCGGCCATCGGCACGACCGAAAGCGCCGTCGTCTGCACGGACTGTTGCTGATTCGTGACGATCGCATTCTGCAACAAATAAAAGCAAAAGATCAATTATTGTACGATAACAGTAAATTAACCAAAATTCTGCTCCTGATAAAAATACAAAGTTACAACACAATGATGTATGGCCATGGTTAAAACTACGATATTATTCCTTTGAAAGTATAGTCCATATATTCTGTTCGAATAACAATCAAAATTTTATGCATATGTGCCGCTCTATGAAAATCATTGGGCGCCACAGTGTTACAGTGCACGGCGCTCTCCGGCTGTTTCTACTATCTCGTTCCCGCGCCATATTTCTAAAAAATTTCCAGTAAGTTGTATACAAAAATTTAAATTCAAATCCAAAAAAATAAAAAAATGCAAGCAAATAATACACAAGTTCAAAAACACCACGAAAATTCGAAGAAATTCACCGGAAATCCGAGAGAAAAATTCTCAAAATTTAGGAAACCTTTAAAAAATGAGAATCATGTGCCAACCCCTGGGTGTAGTATAACTATACAGTTAAGTGTACACATAAAAATCAAATTCAGAATAGTTTAATAAAATTCAAAATCAATGCAAAAAGTAACAAATTCCGGAAATTGAAAAAATTTTTAAAAAACGGAAATCTAAATACAAAATCTGGAAAAATTCATCAAAATTGTATGAACCCAAAGTAAAATTTACAATTTAAAAAATCAAAAATTTTGAAAAATTCATAAAATAAAATATTCAAAAAATTTGAAAAATCTAAAAAATTCCAGAACATACTAATATTTAAAAAAAGAAATATAAAAATGAAAAAATAGCTATAAATTAAGTGTATACAAACATTCAAACGAAAAAAAATCAATAAATTTCACAAGAATTCGAATTCATGAAAAAAATTTCAAGTTTCAAGAAATAAAACAACCATAAAATTAGGTGCACACAAATTTCCACTAATTCGAAATTTAAAAAAATGTTTTTAATTATTTACAAAAATTGTACTTACAAAAAACAGAGATATTAAAAAAAGATTTTAAAAAAATTTAAAAAAAGGCTCAGAAAATGCATTTTTGAATTTTTTAAAAATGTTTTGAACCATATTGAATATTTTTAGCGTTATCGAAAAAAGAATTTAATCTATTTTTTTAGATCAAAATATACAGGGTGTTCCACCGAAAAACATGAGGTTAGGCCTGATAACTTTTTCACCATGTCCCGTGTACTTCTTTATTTTGGATTATTCAAGAATAATTATAAAGAAATTGTTATATGAAATTTAGCTAACCTAACATGAATTATGAGCTGGTGTCAAGTTGTGTTGAAAACATATTTCAGTTTGCTGTGACAAAGATCCAAAAATTCTGGCAATATTTCAAGATATTAGAGGGTAGAAGGAGGGTAAAACTGGAAAAAACCTTGATTAAAGAGTGTCCTGAACAATATCGACTTTGTGTGGTTTAAATTTCTGTCTTTACAAAATTGTTTGAACCGTTGTCTTAGAATCTCCCACCCCTTCATATTTTTCTGCGCGAAATTTGTGGCGTTGTCTCCACACAAACTAAAACTAATTTCGGCACAATAAACAAAACAAAATCTCCATGGTCTACTATTTCAAAACAGTAAAACAAGAAGTTTTTATTGATTTTCATGGCGAAAATTGAAACGATGAATAAAGGGCGCATTTTCCATGAATTCATTCATCAGTACCTCCCGAAAGGTCATGTAATGGACTATTTATGTGTACAAAAGAAGGAAAAGAAATTGTGGTATGGAAATTCTTATAACACTTAACATTGCGCACTCGGCGCATGCGCAGACTTGATGTTTCAAATATGCAATAAAAAAATCTCTACAAATAAGGACGTTGACGTTCCGCAACATGCATACAACTGATTCTTACAATATGCGATATGTTTGCCTTTACTAGAAGCATCTGTGGTTAAAATTTCGAAAAAGTGTCACGAGAAATAAGAAACATGCGCAGTTACACAAATGCAAAAAGAACGGACTAAATATCTTAAAAAGTATAGGAGTAATAAATTAAGGCCTCGGAAGGACGGATAAAGTGGTCATAATAGCGCCTTCCAACATGAATTGGAAAACGCGCTACCAAAATTTAGGTTGTGATCTATCAATCAATCAGGAAAAAGAATGCAAAAGAATGATGTTAAGATATACAGGGTGTTGCATTAAAAAATACTAACTTTGGCTTCAACATTTTTTTGACTACGTTACTGGATTAACGCAAAAATTCTAAATCAAAAGGTCAAAACGCTTAGCACTTACATTTTACGTTTTGAGGAATAACTAATAATAATAATAAACATTCTTCCCCAAAACACTTAGCACTTACATTTTGCGTTAAATAAAATAATAAAAATATAAGTGTGTGCTATGTTTTTCTTTACTAGAGGCATTTATGGATAAAATTTGAAAGAAATATCTTCATAAATAAGGAAGTTAATACTGCGCATGCGCACATCTAATGTTTACAATATTAGATATGTTTACCTTTAACAGAAAAATCTGTGATTAAAATTTCAAAAAGATATCTCGACAAATTGCGCACATTAATTTTATGTTTACAATATGTGATATGTTTGTCTTTACTAGAAGTGTTTGTGGTTAAAATCGGTCGATGGGGTAAGGATGCCCTTAGGGCTGAATGTTAAGATATACAGGGTTTGCCCACTTTGGATCCAAAAATGTTTTTGCCTACGCCACTGAATTATACGTAAAAATATCTAAAAGTCGGTTTTTACCTTTTCTTGCACTTACATTGGAAATAAGATAAGAAAAAATCAAACTTTTCGTTTTCACCCTGTATCTCGGAAACAATCACAGCTGGGGTGATTCTGATTGTGGTATTAAAAGACTAGTCTCAACCAAAGCGCCCAGAAGAATCTTTCCTGTGTTCCTTTCTACACTCTTCCCAGAAATACTTTATACTTTTGGCACTTGTATGATAATTATTAAAAAAGGTGCCATGGAACATAACACCAGAAGTCTGTGGACTAAGGAGGCTCTTTAGGAAATGAAGATTTGTTGTAACAAAGCCCTTAGAGCTGAACGTTTTGAGGAATGTTAAGATATACAGGGTGTTGCATTTAAATAATACCAATTTGGGGTCGAAAATTTTTTTGACTACGCCACTGGATTCTAAGTAAAAATATCTAAAACAAGCGGTTTTGACCTTTTTTCTATCTCACTCTCACATTAGGATAAAATAACATCCCAAAAAGTCAGACTTAATTTTCACCCTGTATCTCAGAAACAAAAGCAGCTGGATTAGCCGTTTGTGGCATTAAAAGTTTAACAAAAAAGTGGCACAGTGTCGTGAAAACTGCAAGTGTCTATCTTTAAAAACAGTTGAGATACACTGCAGTCTCAGCCAAAATAGAACACATGGTATATGATTAACAAATTCCTGGAAGATCTTACAACATATGTAAGAGAATCTTCCCCTTGTTCCCGAGGGGTATTCCATACCCATCGGTTCTACATTCTTTTCCAAAATACTTTGTACTTTCGGCACTCGTATCATAATTATGTTGCATTTAAAAAATACCAACTTTGGGTTCAAATTTTTTTGACTACGCCACTGGCTTCTACGTAAAAATATCTAAAACAGGCGGCTTTTACCTTTTTTCTATCTTGCATGGGTAGTAAGATAGGATAACATCTTAAAAAGTCAAACTTTTAGTTTGCACCCTGTATCTCATAAACAAATGCCTGTTTGTGGTATCAATAGTTCCACAAAAAAGTGGCAGAGGGACAGGAAAACTGCAAGTCGCGATCTTTAGCAAACAACTGAGATGTATCTGCAGTGTCAACCAAAATAGGACACACTGTACATGATAAACAAATTCCAAGAAGAGGAATATTCACTTCAATTACAGGAGAAAAACACTCCCACTTCCCCCAATACACTTGAAGACAAACACACAAACTTAGCAAGGAATTCAAATTTGAGCGAATGCGCCGCCATCTGTCGCACAAAACGTGAACTAAGACACATGAATGGGTCCAATTTTATCAAATAAAAGCAATTATTGGAATGGTGGTTTTGTGAAGCGCAGATTAATCGGAACCACCATTTTAGCAATGTGGCTAGGTAACACCAACACTGGGTTTCCGTGACTACGTTAATTCAGTTTCAATCCGATAAATTCTCACCTCTTTAACGCCGTTTGGCGGTTTGGGAAGCGGAGGAATTCGTTCGATGGTCGGCGACACCATCTTGGTTTCGTTGGGTGGCGGAACGGGCGCCGGTTCCGGCAGTAAAACGTTAAAATCGACGTTATCGCACTGCACGGCTATTTCCTTTTTGAGCACGGCGAGTTTTTGCTGCGCCGATATCTTCTCGCGCGCCAACCGTTCCATCTCATGTTCCAGCTCGCGTTCCTTACGTTTCAGGCTCTGAATGTAGCGCAGCGCCGAGTGCAGAATGCTCAGGTTCGACGTCTTCTTTTCGTCCGCCTGCGTCGGCAGTTGCTTCTTAAGAAAGTCGAAGCATTCCTTGAGGTGGGCGCGCCGGTGCTTCTCGAGCTTGTTGTGCACCTCGCGAGTGCCCGACCGGAAAACCAGAGGGGGCTGTTTGCGCTTCTGCTCGCCTCCCTCGTCGATGACAAGCGGGTTGATGATGTCGAAGCTGTTTTGGATGACTCGCGATGTTAGGGGCGGATGCGTGACGATTGGGGCCTCTGCAAGAGGGGCATATACAAGATGTTGCATAATAATTCGAATACTGACCTTGTATCGGTTTAATAATTGCGACGGGTTGTGTTGCAAGTGGCGGGGGGTTGATGCTTGAAACAATGGGAGCTACGGCCTGTCTTTGTTGTTGCTCTTTTAATTCTTGTAACTCCAAATAACGTGCTGCTTCAAGCAAGGTGTCCAAACTCATGTTCCCCTCGTGGTCCTAAGTTGACCTGAAGAATAATTTCCGTGTAAAACCAGCGGGAAATTAATAAGGCCATGAATGGCTGTTTATTTTAATTAATTAGAAGAAATACGTAAATGTAGTATTATAACTGTGCAACCGACGCCCCTCCACGTGGCAAACGGAGTACGTTTACCTTCTACACGTGCTTTTATCGGGTTAACTCGTAGTGGGTCGTCGTGCACCTCCTCACGCGGTCAACACCGACACACCGGCGTCACTATCACCAAGGCAATAAGGTCGAATTTCCCATGCAAATACCCGCGTGCACCAGACACCTTGCTACATTGACCGTAGGTTGCAACGTTGTCCTATCATTATCACGTTATTAATAATAATTCTCTCGCACATATGATAAATAAACAAGAGACCGCCCGAATTAATCCAAGGGGCTGATCTGGCGCTCCAAGTCGACCGCCACAAGCTCTCGTCCGCATGCAACAACCCCAATAGTCATTTGTTTTCAAATAAAGGGCTACGTATGAAACTAATGGCAACGCTGTACGTCAATATGAGCTAAATTCGCCAGGATAACGTGGCCATAACGGACACCTTTGTGTACGATCTCATGATGGCCCCGTTTTTCCTTCTGCAGACTTAAGACAAACCGTCGTTGTTACCTGTAAGGAGAGCAAGAATCCGGCGGGACTTTAGATCCGTAGAGGACGCGGCCGTTTCACCTTCACTTCTCACCATTCGAACTAGGATGTGCCAAATCGGAAAAGTACACCGAGGTGCTCGACACCTGGACACCACCCCGTCGTGAGCCCTTCGTTGTACACGCTTCACAGCAGCCACATCACGTGTGTGCTGTAGCTGTATCGACCAATGGGCGCTGCGCGTCTAAACAAATGCGCGCGTGACGTACCCGCACACACGCCCTTCACTAAATCGCATTCAAACAAATTTAGAAAATCGCGCGGCTCACTTTACCCTCGACATTTTTCACTTAACGGACGACATGATGACCGTTTTGTTTCCTTAATTGATGGTAAACAAGTTAGGAACAATCACATTTTCCCCCCCTCCGCACCGCGGACACAGTTTCGTCCCTTCCGCAAGTCGTTTTCCCCTTCTTTTGACGGAATGCCGTTTCTTGTGGTGCGCAGTTTGATGCGCAATTCAAACCAAAAGGGAAATTACGCTGTAGCAAAATAGCGAGCAACCCGGATTATGCTAAACACGCGTCGCACGTTGGGCCACTTTTTTTCAATCTACTTTCGGCGCGCATCGCCAAAATCGAATTAAAGGGCAAACGGACAGACAGGCCGTCTCGAAACGGACACGTTGCTGGCGATGTGATTCATTGAAAACTACGTCACGTTCCGTGACTAAACGCTCCGAAAAACATGAGTGGGAAAAACACCTGCTTTCACCCGGGTAATAGGCAACACATGATGCGCGCATTCGCTGGGGCTTTTGTGATCATAAGCACCCGCGAAACTCGCCCGTAGGCCTTTAGTACTAATTATCAAATTATGTACTTGACAATAATAGTATATTTATTCAACGAGCAAGTAATGGCGCGAAGAACACTATACTTTTTCTAGGAATATTAACATAATCCAAATGAAGCATAAGAAGTAGCCTCGAAGTATACCTTATACACTGTGTGCAAGATAAGGATATCCATGACCATAGAAGATACGACGAAGGTCAGATTGGTGAAAAGAGAGTTATTATCATGCTTTAAAGAAAACCGGAAAATTCCGATTACTTCCGAAAATGTCAGAAGAACTGAAATCGTTTTAATTGTTAGCCCATTTTTTAAAAATTAAAAAAATGTGCTATTGTTTGCGGTTTGTCCGTCCGTCCGTCCGGACCCACTTCTACCGTTTTGAACTACTTCTAGGGGAATGGTCCTAGAGTCCTAGAATTTTTTGCAGTAGGTAGCCTATACCTTGAAGGTGTGCCAGACGGCCATCAAATTTCGCTGTCTAAAAGCCCCCCCCCCCCTCCCCGCGAATTATTTCCTGAGGTGCTGTTTTTGAAAGTAAAACGTTGGTCTCAGATTTTGCATACGCATGCCTTTAGTGGTGCAAAGTTAAACTTTAGAAAACCGGGGGGGGGGGGGGGGGGGATGTTCTACCCTTCACGGTATTCTAATGAAAGGTCTCATCGAAATAAATTGGTTTGTACAAACTATAACTTTCCCGTGCGACTCTTTTTCGAATCAGTGAGCGACAGGGCCTGGGGGGGGGGGGGGGAGTAAAAAGTTAATTTTATCTGTCATTGTATTCTAATTAAAGGTCTCCTCGATCCCTTGTCGTGATCGGTTATAATTCCTTATATCTTAAGAGAAGTTTCAAAATTTCGTTTTGCGCATGTGCAGTGCCAACTTTCTTATTTATGGAAGAAATTTCGTAGGGGTGTTTAAAAAATGCGCTTTACCTGCAAAAGGGTTGTGCACAATTTGTACTTGTTTTCTGATATTATTTGAACAGATACGAAAAAATAAAAAAATACTTTCTCATTGCCACTTTCTGAGTGTTTAAAGATTTTCAATACAACGTTTCGTTTCCGAGAAATCATCAACTATATTTTTATATGGTCCGTGAAAAAGTGCCTATATCTACAGTATTGAGTGGCATTTTTTTAATTGCGAATACAAACAGGACCGGATCTACATATTTTGCGCATATGGGCCCCCCGATTTTGCGCCCAACCAACTAAAATCATTTTATACCCCAACCAATATTTGTTTCTAGAAATATCCACTATTTTTGATTCTTTACAAAAAAGAGTTAATGCGGTTTTCTTTCTCCTAATTTGCAAATTAATTTATAATTAGTAGTCAAAACATTTGTTTATATTAATTATGAGATCGATAAAGTGTTATTGAAACAAATTTTAATATCTTATCTTGAATTACAAACAACTAACTATTTAATTTATAGAGAAATATACTCCTTTTTTATTAATATTTCCGCATCATACATTAGGAGGTGATGGGGCTATAATATATAATTTTACTTTTAGAAATACAGGGTGTTTCGAAATTCGTGCACACGGACTGTGGGATGGTGTTATACAACGAAAACTGAATAAAAAGTTCCTCTACCAGTTTTTGATCAGACCGGCGCTTTTTTTTTCGACGCGCTGAAGCTTGTTTACTAGCAGACGGCGGACATTTTGAACAAATGTTTTAATTACGTACTCGTCATAATTATAGTTTATTTTGAACCTTCTTTTTGTTTTAAAAATGTGTTACTATTAAGTTTAACGAGTGGCGCAGCGAAGGGGGGGGGGGGGGCAGAGATTTTTAAAACCGCGGTAGCTCGAAAAATAGCGGTCTGATGGAAAACTGGTAGAGGAACTTTTTGTTCAGTTTTTGTCGTATAACACCCCTGTATAATTAAATTATTACCTAATATTTACAATGTGAAATTCAGAAGTGGTTTTCCAAAATAATAAAAGGCATCAATTTCAAATAACGTATTTCAAGTTTATTTTACACCGAAGTCCAATATAAAGATATGTAAATGTAACCACTGAATTGTGTTTCAGAGAATACAACGGTTACGTGCTGTTATCCCCCTCCCCCCCTCCCCGTACGCTCATACAATAAATAAATTAAATAAAAATTGCTAGATGACACCTTAATTAAGCTTTTTCAACCACAACATTTGCGGGGGAAAATGTTCACAATCTTAATACAAAGTTATTCGTCGAAATGTGGGGTTATGTTACTCATCCTTAATTTCATGATTACTTTTAAGTTGGTAAGAGGGCGTAACATTCTAAATCTAATTGCATAAGATGTTATTCTTCCACGATAGTACTGTAGAATTATTTCCCAAATTTTTTTTGCCGCCCCGTTATGGACCCTGGGGCCCACATTGCCCCATGCTAAATCCGTTCCTGAAAACAACGATGTACGGTACCAAAAAAAAACAAGAGTTGCAAACTGTTGGTTTCCACAGGATGGTGCTGGAGTAATGGCGCACATCGCCTTAATAGTCCAAGAATACCTATCGGACATAACGGGCGACCAAAAAAGAGTTGCTATCGAGTCACCTTTAATGATTTTCCAAAAATTCCAAGGGTGATTCGATAGCAATTCATTTTTGATCCCATAGTATTTTCCATTTCCCGGAAATTGTCCGATAGGTATTCTCGCACGATTTTGCCGTTGTGCGCGAGTGCACCATCCTGCTGAAACCAACAGCTTCTAACTCTTGATTTTTTGTGTGTGTGCGTACATCATTTTATTCGTAAAATAACTAATAAAAAATGCTACTCAGTAAAGTATGTACTTTTCTTACCGGCCATAAAAAAATAAAGTTGATGATGATTTTTCCGAAACGAAACGTTGTATTGGAGGTAGAGCTCAAAAAGCGGCAATGAGAAATGTTTTTTTGTTATTTTACTGCATCTGTTCAGATAACATCAGAACAAAATAAAAACGATGTCGACAAATTTCAGTTTTTCTGACATATCCTCGGAAGTAATCGGAATTTTCCGGTTTTTATTTATTTATGTTCCTCTCGTTCTAGACCATCATAAAACCGTTGATGTGTTTTTGAAACTGACTAACACACACATTTAAAGCGTATTTAATGGCTTCGGAGTAAATAAAATGAATTGAAGGTTATTTTAATCATATCTAATTATCCGAGCTTCCGTGTTAACCGAGCCTCAGAAATCTTAAGAAAATTCGGTATTATCCGAGGTGGCAATGGAAAGCGTCCGCTTTATCCGAGCCGAACGCGAGTTGCGCATTTTTTGCAGATATATGCGTCGAACGGTTCAGGTTGATTCTGCAGCTATTTGTGTTGTGCCGCAAGAATGTCGACGAACCAAAAAATGTTGTATTTTGTAATTTGTGTTTATTCCGCTTTATCCGAGCTTTCGGTTATCAGAGGTACGTCGAGGTGAGAAATAAAAAGTCATTTCTGTCGGAATTCACCAAGTGCCACTTTTTTTATTTTGTCACTAAAAGGGCAAAAAGAATTTTCTGATTCGTTGCCGTAGACCTAGAAGGGGGTTCTCCAATTATTGGTTCGCGCGCGGCACACCCAAAAAAAAACAAAAGTTGGAAACTGTTGGTTTCAACAGGATGGTGCACCCGCGCACAACGACCGTGCGAGAATACTTATCAGACAAATTTCTCGTTTGAGATGTAGTGCAGTCAAGCTTTCTATCACAAAAATATTTGCGATGTAATTAAACAAATTTTGTACCGCATAAAAAGGCCCATATCTAGAGGGAGAGAGGATATTTGCTATTAATCTCCAAAATTAATTGTTGTTGTTTATGCTGCGTATTTCTGTGACGTGCACCTTACTTCAAGATGTAGCGGGAGTCATGCCATGTTAATTAGCGTCTCACAATTTGAGGTTAAACACGCCATCACTAAATATCAAAAACAAATTCCCAGCAGATCCTATAATCTATTCTTTATCTCATAATCACAATTGGCGCATTTAAAAATTTTGACCCTTTTATGTGGTGCTGTTTAAGGTAGATTTTACTGTTCATCTCCAAATGACAATTAGCACAATTTAAAATCCTTAGAAACTTTAGGCGACTGCCAGCCAACAAACTGTTGGAGGCGAAACTACAGTGCCAGGTCACGTGCAACGATACAGTATTCAAAGAAAGTTGGCACTACGCACAGTTAATTTTACAATGCTTGCCTTTACTAGAAAACTAGAAGCATCTGTGATTAAAATTTCAAAAAGATATTTTGATAAATAGGAAAGTTGGCATTGCGCAGTCTGCGCAAGCGCACGGCACATCTGATACTGTATGCGCTGTTTTTTTCACTAGAACCATCTATGGTTAAAATTTCAAAGAAATGTCTATGTTGGGAGTCTGCGCATCTGCACAATATAATTACAATATGCGATATGTTTGCCTGCACTAGAAGCATATCTTTGGTTAAAATTTCAACAATATGACCCTGTGGGAAAATCCGCTAAAAATAATCACATGAGAAGTGTGGTACGAAGGTGGGGGAAAATGCTCCCTTGCTTGCCACAACCAAAGAGTAAATGGGTACTCTTTGCCACAACCATACATCTGCTAAAAAAAAGGAAAATAGAACAAGAGAGGGATAAAAAAAAACTTTAAACATAAGGTTGCCAGGCAACCACAAACTCTTTGATCAATACCAAAATGTACTACACCGAACTCGAAAACGAATTAACGTTCCCACAAATATCGCCCGAAAAGACAATCGGCGACTTTTTGGAATCAAAGTTAAACGAGAGAGTTCTCAAGTGTGACGCAATAACTCTCAATTCGTATCTCCATTAATTGGTTCGCTTTCAGAAAATACCCGGAATGGGACTTTCCGCGCGTAGAACCAAAGATCGCCCTAGCGGCACTGCAGCGGGATCTCGACGACAGCGAACAGCGCCTAACCGAGAAGCGCGAAGAGGCGAAGTCATCGAAGGCTCAACTGGACAACGAGTGGAAGAGTTTGGAGGAGGAAGGTTTGAAGCTGAGGAAAACTTTCTGCGACTTCGACAAGGTTTGATGCCTGTTGTAGTTTAGGCTAACATTTTCGCCTTATACTGTTTGCAGATGATCAAAGAGAACGCGGAGAAAACCGCGCGTGCCACCTCTAAAACGAAAAGGTTGATCATAAGCAAGGCGAATACCGATAATGCGATAAAACAAACCGAGAACGACCACAATAAACTGCTCAAGGTAAAAGACGAGATGGAACAACAGATAAGAGATCACCAGATTTACGAGAGCTATCTCGAGGTCGTGTCCGAAACGAACAAGGGCGAATTTCCGACGGCTCAGGACGTTTTCAACAAATTCGCGATTCTCGACGAGGCACGCAATGTCGTCACCAAGAGATTGGAGCACAACATTCGCGCTTTGGAGGAAACCAAAGATCGAATGGTAAGGCGCGGATGGTGTTCTCACCTTATAATTCCTCGCATATTGCAGGAGCAACAACTCATCGACCAAAGCACCGTCTTGATCGGTTTGAACAATCGCGTAGCCGCGCTGAACGATCGGTTTCGCGCGGCGAATGCGAAATGTGAAAAGTGGGAAGGCGTCGTGCGCACCGCGCAGGTGTCCTTGCGCGATAGGCTGCTAGATATACTATCGACGAGAAGGGTTTGCTGGAATCTCTACTTGAACATGTGCCGTCGACGTAAGACGGAACCTCGAATTAGAAAGAGCGATCTTGAAGCTCAGCTCTGGTATATCAAGCGACATCTACGACTATTGGGGACAACCATCCGAATTGCCGACAAAATGGCGGCTGATGCAGAGGCAGTTGAGAAAACAAAGTCGCGAAAGTGAATGTGAGTCTTGAAATCCACCGTTACCCTCCAAGAAAATCAATTGAAACATCCAGTGTCCTAGAGTTGTACGACCCTAGTGGTCACTTTTCTATTCAATAAGTTAATGTACGGAATATCTGTTTTTTACGAATAAATCGAAACCTTAAAACTTATGTGTTTAAGTCAGTTAGAAGACTTCCGTTACTTAATATCGAAATTAATTGACCTTTCTCTGAGTTCATACACCAATATTTTATACAGCGGAAAGTTCCTTTTAAAAGTGTCAAACCGGTTAAGAGATAAAATGTTTCTATTCACTGTTTAAACGGTCTGTATTGAATACAAATAGAAAGTTAAACTTTATCTTAATCATACAGCTACTAAAACTATCCTTTGAGTCGTCCAATTTTGGAATATTGGATCATCTCCGATTAGGTTCCACGGAATGGAACAGAAAATGGTTGATGATAAATTCGGGTCCTTAACGGGAGGGCTTAATTAATTGCGAAAAGTAGATTACCTACGTCAAATTTGGGCGGACTAACCTTTATTAATAACCATCGAATGTACTTCACACGATTGTTATTATAACCAAGTGAAAGGTTCTCTTTGTACCTATATTCGAAAAAAAATCGTCATTAAGTGAAAGTCGCTACTGGCTTACAATTTCTCCCAATGGTTTCTACGGTGGGCCAATTTAACTTGGCTGACTCGACCCGAATCCACATAAAAATAAGTTTCGACATGAATTTTTTGTAATCTCACGCGTACCATTATCTTCTTGACATGCGCTCGAACTAACGCCTATCTAATCATTTCCCATCAGTGGATATACAAGGGCGAACTGGCTCACTGTAGCTCAGTTCAGGGTCGCTCGCCACCTGGTGGTGACTTTGGAAAGTAGGTCAAGGTAAAATTCGCGTACCACGTGGATATGACTTTGCAGGTCAAAGTTAAGCTCAAGCGCATTCGCTTTTAAGGTCACCGGAGTTCAATAACCTAATTTTTGTATTGTCATATTGCACTTTCAAGGTTACCAAAAGCCCCATTTTTACAATGTCACATTTCCCTCTCAAGGTCATTAAAGATTCTAATGTAATGTCATCTATACCCAGGTAACACACATGTGTACAATGGACGTACATTGGATATATCTATTAGACATTTCAAAAGTCCATTGGATGTACATATTAGGTCCTCAAACATTCAATGGATGTTCAGTGGATGTACGTTTGGCACTAGAATGGATCTCCATTGAACATCCGTACACTACATCCAATGGAGGTTTACCTGGGATGTAACATGGATATTTTGCCTAATAATAATAACAATAATATTGATAGTTTATTTATGTGTTTATAATAATACAGTCATTGATTATTAATTTTTGTCCTTCCTCTCCTTTGCACGTCTCAACCATTTCGCTATTGATTGCTCAAAAACCATTCTTGTGGATGTGGGAAATATAGATAACCCAGATTCTAAAAAAATATTGTCAACAAGATTTAATAACCAAACCTAAACTTACCAATCACTAGTTTATTGACGTTTAATTTATTAAAAGGTCTTTTTTGTTTTCGACCATAATAACTAAAATTGTTCGCAAGTTGGTTAGTAAACAACTTTTCCATGGACCTTGCCACAAAATTGTATGGGACGTTTCCACCTAGTCTTGAAAATTCCAGAACCTAAATGCTTATGGGTATTAGGATTTAATAATGTAGTATTTAAACTCGCCACTTTGTTGAACTCTGCTGGATTGTTAATAAATGTTTCAAAATCTTCTAGTGCTTCAATAACATTGAAGGGGAAGTCAAATTTAGTAAAAATAGTATCTGAGATTTCTACGGAAGGTTCAGCTGATAGTACCATTTTTTTTTCCATGTTGGCAAACCTTTCATTCATCGCATTTAGTAAAGCCATAATTATATTCTGTTTATGAAGTATTTTAACCAACATTCCTAAAATAGAGAAGCAATGAACCAACATTGTATTTTATAGTTATTTTCAATTACAAATCCCAAATAGCTATTATGTACTCTTTCGTTTGTGGCACTAAATTATTACATGCTAGTAAAAAGTAAGTAAAAAATTTGAATTAGTATAAAGTATAAAAAGAACTCAAATATAAACATACCTCTATTGGATTCCACACCCTCCAAATTTTGATCACTTTCTACTAATTTGGTAACTTTGTCGGAGTTATCTGGAGCTGGAGGACTTGTATCATCAATATCTACACTATGAACTTCGGCTTGAACAACCTTTTTAACTGAAAATGTAAAAGGTTATAAATGTACTATTATAAACAATGTAATACATACCAACTTTAAGTTGAGGATGTGGTGGTAAACTGCTGACATGTTCTATTTCATCTTCAACAGATGAAAAACTTGAAAAATGTTTTATTATTCGTTTTCTTTTAGGTGGTACAATTGCGATAGTGGAATCCGATTCTAGATCTGATGTGATTGTGGCCTTTTTTGCTTTTTTTTGAGCAACATTAAAATTATCTGCAACATTTAAAAACTAAAATCTTAATTTGATCATTGGCTTTATTTACCATAAACGTTATTCCTAAATAAAAATATGTCGTAAAGAGGCCATTCCTTTCGAGGCTCTTCTCGTCGTTGCAATGCCTGTTGCAAACGTATATTACTGTAAGTGGGAAAGTAACATTTACCACCAGGCTGCAGCCAATTGGAAGGAACTGCTTCGACACTATTTTCTTGGACAAATTTTACTACGCTCCAAGTTTCTTCATCCATAGCTTTTTAACTTGCTACATACAAGAAAATATTTACAGGACAATGCATTTACACAATATGTAGTATTTACAAACAATAAACTTTGAACATAAAATAGAAATAAAAGTGTTAATCATATACATCAATGTAGCAAAGGAAAAACTGCGAATTTATCTTCCTTGTACGGTAAAGCAATACACTTGCATTTCAGATGTTTCACGTTCCACATATCTAGGTTTTTAGGTTGGCTAACAACTTGTACTCCCAATGCTGATGACTGACAAGGTTTTGTATATAAATCGGCGACATTGCTAAACTTGTGGCCTATTATAAAAATTCCATGATCGTTTTGAACAAAATTTCTAATACAAACGATATCGTTATCCAACAAAGAACAATAATTATTTCCCTTAAGACATGTTAATGTAAATGACTTAAAAATAAATTTCCTGAATTGTTTTTCCTCTGCCTTATTGATAGATAATGTAGGCCCCTTTTGATGTTCACTTAGTAAGACAATATCATCCTTTGAAGAATCTAGATCAATGGAATTTGAGCAAAAATCAATTTCTCTAAGTCTGCAAATAATTTGTTCCAACGGACGATGGCTCGAACGAATATATCTTTTGATTGTATGTAAAAAATTTTCAAAGGGGAATGCGCTGAATTGATCTAGTATACCAAATATTTGTGTATCATCAGTAATATGCAGAAGATTGTGTATATTATGTGACATAAATTCCGCTCCGTATAATATTTTAAAGGATTCTACAAAATATTTTAGATTCGATTTAGCATAAGGCCTAAAATGATTTATATGATCTGCTTTACTTAAAATTGTGCATGCAACATGCAAAGATAAAAAATTAAGGTATAAGTCATGTGAAAGAATATTTTTTAGAACTACTGGACCGGTATACAACAAAAACTGCCTAAATTCGGTAGCTTTCCATCGTTTTACTTCGTTTAAAGAACGTGGTTTTCTAACAAATTCACAAGGGATACAATGTTGAAATGAAATTAAATTATCTGATATTAAGTTAATTTGACGAGATGATAATTTATTTGGTGGTTTCCCAACACACCAAAAAAGTAATAATTTTTTTACCACCCCTAACAGTATCAGGTGCATATAGTCGAGAGGAAAATCTCTGACCATGTTTAGTTTTGGAATTGTTTGTAGAATAGATGTGCCCATATGATGATCTTCATCCTGTTTGGAGATGAAATCATCATGGGTTCTCAGCCTCAAATCTTTAATTTCTGGGAAACACACACGGTTATTAACATGGGATCCATGAATGTAACATTTTGTGCATGAATTATATCCACTGTGACCTTTGATGTAAGTTACAAATGATTTTGCAGGCGCATCACAGATAAAACAATTAATTTTAAAAGTGTACATCTGATTATTAAATTGGAATCCATCGTTAGTTAATATAACAGCTTCATCTACAAAATCTTTAAGGAATATGTTTGCATCCTTAGGTTTTTCATAGCCATGGTATATACCAACAATATTTACGACATTTCGATTAAAAACCAAACTACACAAAATTGGATAGAATTGGCTACCAGAACTTTTCGAGATGGGTAAGCCATCAATATTTATACATACTTCAATAGTACTATAGTTGCAAAGCAAAGTAGGTTTACAAATAGATAGTAACTTAGTAATGCAATTGAGTAGTCCAAAGTGATAGTAATGACCAGGGTCAACTATACGCAATTGATTTTTTATTACCCTCGGAGTATGCAATAAAGTTCTCGAGTCGCAGGGTAAACTTACGTCAAAATTTGTTCTTAAAACCTTTAGTAAATCATTTAATGCAACTTGTGGAATTTCATGTGTAACAGCCCACCTAGCTAACTGACGAGAAAAATCACTATTAGATACATTTTCTTGAAAACTAAAATTAGTACTAATATTGGTCGTTGAATCAACGTTATGTGAAACATCAATTGGGTCTTTGCTTAGACTTCCAATACACAAGTTTGCGTCACCATTTTGCAAGTCATCATTTGTACGATGAAATACAGATGAATTTTCACTCGGACATGAATTAGTGTCAACTGAAGTTGGATCGATTTGAGAGGAAGGACCAGCAGTACTCCTAATTATAGACGACACGTCCAACTTCGTTTGCACTTGTGCCTGTCGATATACTGTTCTTGATATTTTATATCTTTTGGTGTACATTTTCTTAAACAGCTCAAAGGTACTAACCTTTACTTAGACAGCCAAGTACCAAATCCAAAATCTATAAACAGAAGGTAAAAATTAGAGTACAGTGCATAACCTTACAATATTTACACAAAACCGTCATTAGATTCTAAGCACTTGACATAACTGTTAATTCCTTACCTATATAGGATGTCTAGCAAAACCAGGGACACTATCGTACACAAGACGCTACGCAAAACACAAACGCAACAAGAACCAATAAATTAATCACAGGTAATAAAAATGCGCCAATTTGTTGTGGTTATGATGGCGCCGATGCGTGGCTAGCTACTCATCGTTCGTAAATAAACTTGCATGTGGCGCCATCTTCAGTTATTTGAATTAAAGAATTTGCAATTGAAAAACTTAGAAATAAGCTCTTAATTACTTATTTTTACTTATTTGTTTTGATCACTAATTGTTACCGTAATACAAAATGTGGATTTTCAAAATTTCTATTTTTGTACGCAAACTGGACGTCCATTGGACGCGTATTGTACAGCAAAAAATAGGATACATATTGTGTCCAGAAGTGGCCATCCACTGGACGTCCATTTTAAGTACATGGACGTATGTACAAAAAATGGATCAATTCTGAATGTCCATTGGACGTATGGTGTTACTTGGGTAAGTGTAGTAAGTGGGATAATGTAACCACAAGAACAAGGTCATAGAGGTCATGATCATTCCATATCGTCAACCGTAAAGTGTAAGTGTAAATATGGTAGACATATCTTATAACGCAATTAATGGATTTTATTTAACGCTTATTGCTCTGTTTTAAACGTAAGTAATCAGTGCTTCGATATATGGGCCGATGTGCTTATTTAATTCGCATAAGGTCAATATAATCCCATAAAGAATGCCTATTTAAAAATGATCCTTAATGGATAGGGCGATAGGGGTCAATATTTCCGACAGTAAAAAAATCAGTCCTGCAATTCGAATTGCACGGGCTATTATGACGTAACCACTAATAGACCCTATTGATTGTATTAAAGGTATTTTGAGGTGTTTTTGTACTGAATTGATTTATCATGTTTGCTCTGCATTTATGATGTCTTGAATATTTTGTTTTTATGAACTTGTTTAATTGCATTTGATTTGATATCTTATTGTTATCATACAATTTGAGATATTTTATTTTAGTGTATTTTCTCTTGCATTTTATTGCTGTAGGTGATTTATTTCATGTATTTGTGTGGCCTATGCCGGGGTTTTTTCCCGTAGAAGGTTTCCCTGGCATGGTTCTTTTTGTGTGCGTGATATATTTATTTGTTCTTGTCATTTCTTACGCACAAAAGTTCTGTCTTTTATTTAATTTCCTTCCCGATTATGTCTCACGTCCCAACACATACAAGAACCGATTACACAACGTAGGAGTCCATTCGTGCCACCCATATCGAGCCAACTTCCATCCAAATTCAAAAGTGGCGCGAAACGTCCATCGTGTCGACTTGAAAGGTAGGTGGCTCTGCTCGTAATTGTTTTGCCAGAGTTGCCAACGGTAAGTATAGGGTAAGTCAACGTTTTCAGTGTCGACTTGATAGACCCCTAGGAACATTACAAACTAGTGATGCATAATACATTGATGGTCGTTTGCACCGACAAATTTAAGTGTAACTTAGCTTAAGCGTAGTTTAAAATCCATGGCAACGATTATTGAGACAATGGTTGCCATGGATTTTAAGCTAAGTTACACTTAAATTTGTCGGTGCAAACGGCCATGAATGCCGTTTTTACTTTATTTGTATTTTTAATCAATGAATACTTGATCGTTAGTGTCGATATTCTTTCAACATCTCTCTTAAAACCATAGCAAGAAATTACATGCATACAGTCCACAAAATATTCGTTTTACACGCAATATTTTAAAAAACCATGTTTTGTCATTTCAAAATAACGGTTTCCTTTCAACGCGCTCTACTTACCTGAAACTCTCTTATCCGCCCCTGTAATGTTGTTTCCTAATTTTCGAACAATTCTTGGAGTTTAATATCAACATTGCGTGGGGGGAAACATATTGCCATTAGATAAAAGATGTACCTACCTAAGCATTGTAAAGCGAGCAAAAATGTGGCACTCAATCTAAAAGAAGGGTTTTTAAGACATTTTCCTAAAACTGTATTTTGTAAAAGTTATAGTTTGAAATTAACAAATTGTTAATATGAAAACAGCAGAACATAACAAAAAGAAAACTAATACATAAATAAAAGTACATACGATTATGACGTCACAAATCGGTAGGTGGATTGAAAAAATCCCAATGACTTTGATATATCGTAACTTTCGGTTCGCTCAATAAAATTAATCCGGCAATAAAAATTAACAACAGCAAAATAACAACATGCAAGTCTTGTTTACCATCCACGTTATTCACTACATTATTGGTAATATGAGTAATCAGTCTCCTAATAGAGCGGTCGCCTTCCAGCGCGCACAATCTCACTAACTGTCCGGTAAGTTGCGGTATAGACGGTTCGGGAGAACGATGGTGCCGTCTACTCACTGGCACTGCATCTTCTGAACTTGAGGCGGTCACCGGCGGCGGCGGAGGTTTGTGGTGACGTTTCCGCCGAGGCGGCAAAGGAATGTCTTCATCGATAAACTCTTTGAAGTGTGGAGATCGCAATGCGTAAAAACTTGGGGGAGGTTGCGAAGGTATGTAGGTAAGTTCAGACTGAACCGGGTCGGGAGGTCTTGGAGGAGGTTCTTCATCAGACTTCGAAATCCTGTCGTGCTCTTCTTTCGCAATCTGCTCCACGTCTACTGGTTGTTCACCATGTTCCTCAATTCTCTCACCACCCACTTCTAAATTTACTGCCCCGTCTTCAACAATAGTGTCACTAACAGTAGCAATAGCTTCATCAATTAGTTCTTGAATTAAACACTCCTCCAAGTCCATTATGTTTTGTTGATTGTCTAAAGAAGGCTCATCTTCGTTCATAAACTCGGACACCTTTTCCACTTGAGATGATCTTCTGGGGGGACGAGTTGGAGGTTCAAGCAATTCTTCAGATATATCATTTTTTTCTTCAGCGGTATCTAAGAGGTCAGTTTTTGAGTCGTGTCGAGGAGGCACCGGAGGAGCTGTATCAAATAATTCTGTTTCCAAAGGATCATCAATCGAAGTTTTTTTTTCGACAAAATCGCCCTCTTCTTCGGATTTTAGCTCACTACTTACCGCTTGAACTGCAGTTGAAGCCATGCGCTCTTCTGCCGCCATTTGCAGCTTTTGGAGCATTTCTTGGATCAAATTTGGGGGTAGATCAATACCGCTCACTATTAAGTTGCCACCTTTAGAGTTGATCTCTGAGACTTGCAAACTTACACCCTCTAGCTCAGACACGATGATTTTACTCGCCTGTAGCTCGTTGACGTGCAATTTATCAACGTCTAAATCGGCGACTTGCAGTTTTTGCGCCCTTAGGATACTTACCTCCTGACCATCTTGAATTAAACTCACGGGTTCAACCACTTGGGGCTGCGGATCTCTTACTTTGGAGAGTTCGTCAGGTATACCCGATGTTACCACAGCTTCTGGGATATCAGGGTTCTTCAAATCGTGAAACTCTGCAGGGACTTCAGAATCTTCATATGGTGGTTCAACACTCGACAAAAGTGCTTCCGGTGGGTTTTTCAATTTTTTAAAATCTTCAGGTATCTCAGAGAACTCTTCATCAGCTGTGGGTTCGTCAAGCGGTTCCCTGGTAATTTCAATGACATGAACCGTAGAATCTCCGTCGGTGCGAAGAGTGGAATGTGAGACAGCGTCCGGGTCGGTTAACGTTTGTAAAACTAGAGAGCCATGGGTTATAGTTTCTTCGTGGTCGTAAGGTAAAATTTGGTCTTCCAGTTGCTGAAGATCGTCAGTTTCTTCTGCAGTAAATTTGTGAAGGTCTTCTTGAGATTCCGTTGGCAAGTTTCGTTCATGGGATATGTCGCGTAAAGCCGACCGGGACTTCCGGGGCGGGCGTGGTGGTGCTGGCAGAGGCCGGTCTCTCATTTTTTGAACCACTTCACCAGATTGGAGATGAACTACGTTTAAATTCTCCTTATCTTCAGTAAAGGTAGGTGTTGGTCCTCTTAGAGTGCTATAATTTCGTAATGGTCTCACTGGCGTTGTTTCACCTGTCGATCGGGGTACCGTTGCAAATTTATCTTCCTTTGACTTATGCTTGTTGGCTCTTCTTGGCCGCGGTGGTGTTTTCGGTACTCGGGTAGGTGGTAGAGGGGGGTCTCTTGCTTTGGACTTATCGATAACAGCATAACCGCTCGTGTCTCTTACGTCTTTTATGCAAGCGACTTCAGTCACTTCCACTGGAGCGTCAGAAACCAAAGAGTCAGCACCTCGAGATGTTCGGTCGTCTTCTAATTGTGATGCTGATATCGATCGAGTGCAGGAACGAGTTCTTCTTGGTCGCTCAGGTGGCTCTGGTGTGGGGATTATGTACTCGTGGTCTGCTCTGTAATCTTGAATCTGAAAACGCCATTTTTGTAAGGTGTTTCATCACTTGCATATACTTACATTTTCTACAGGAACACGTTGTTCTTCGTGCCCTATTGAACCTTGGTCGGATTGACTTGCGCTTCTGTAATTTCTACGCCGGCGGGGTGGAGTTACAGGGAAGTGGTTTAATTCTACCCCGTCTAAAGAAAAGCGTTTTTCTTCGTCTTCTTGATCAGAGGGCGTTAAGCTCCTTAGGCTTCTTTGCCGGCGAGTAGGAGGTATGGGAGAACGATCCAGACTGACGCATTCGAATGGAGCTTCACCTGTTATTGAACCGCGGTCAGACGGACTTAAACTCCTTGAACTTCTTTGCCTACGCGTGGGAGGTACTGGAGGGCGGTCGTCTCGTTCGGGAGAGCCTTGGAAATTTTCATACGCGTCGTAGGGATCGTAGACCTTAATTTTCGGCTGTTCAAAATCCTTCATGCACTCATTCTCGTACATGTGCGGAAAATCGTGCTCGTAAAAGTATTGCATGTCACTACCCAGAATATTGTGGCGAAGAACATCGGAATGATCTATCGCAATTATATAATCGGGGTGAATGAATGTGCCGTGTTCTACGATGGGAATCGTTTCTTGAAATGGAACGACATCATCATTATCCAATTTCTTGTTCTTTCGCCGATTCGGTCTAACCGGTGGTGATATTTCAAGTTCGACCTCAAAGTCCTTAGGATACTCCTCCGGTTCGGTAGTGTACGATTCAAGTTCGAAGCTCAGTTGTTCGCTTGAAACGTGGGGAGTTTTCTTTCGTTTGGGTTTTCTTAAGGGCTTACGTCTTGGAGGCTCTCGTACGGGCTCTGACTGATCGGAAAGCTCCATATCGTACTCCCGATCTTCACTGTTGGACTGTGGCAGAATTGGTTTTCTAAACGCTTCCCGTATTTCGGAGCTTAAGTACTTTCCAACTTCAATATCTTCTTGCGATATACCCTTTTTTCGCAAGAAGAATTCGTCTGAATCGATTTCTTCTAACACTCCTTGGCGATGTTCGCTCAAACTTCCCGAGGAGTGCTCTTTCGAGGGAGTTATATCCATACTACCTTCTTGTGGTGTTTGCTCTTCCTGTTCGGGGGGAGGTGTATAATCGACATTATGAATATCTTCAATGTA